ACTACAACACAGTGTATTTGGGGCTATTTCAGAAAATTTGGGAATTTCTCTGGCCTTCTTCTAATCAAAGGTTAATAACTCTGTATGAAATCCAAGCAAGAAAATCAAACGGCAAAGTTGGAAATCAAGCGTTCTAACACGGTGAAATCTAAAGACATGCTAATTTGATGTTTCCATGCTGAGGAATGGTGGTAGGAAAGATTGAATGTTTCCTTTTCCACAGTGAAGGCACTGTGCTCCTACAGCATCAGAAAACTTGACAAGTACAGCAGAGAACACTGCAGTCCAAAATCGATCTAGGCATCACTTATTGGTGTTCCACGGTAGGAAAGTACTGTCATACTAAGTGAATCATATTTTGTGTTGTTCAGAAGCAAGACTGCACAAAACTTACGTGACACACACCTGTACCCACACATACAGGCCCACTTTTAAATGAGCAAACATACCAGTTAAAAATAAAATTAAAAATCGATAAGAATATTTCTGTCAACACATGCCCTGTTGTGTTACACAACTTTTGCGAAGTCTTTCGCAGAGGCCAGAATAGGGCATCAGATGTCTTCCTCTACTGATTTTGAGGCAGAGACTCTTCCTGAATTGCCAGAGCCGGCCAGCAGAGTCAACAGTTATTGAGTGGGGAGTGAGGATTAAAAGAAACAAAAACAAAAACAAAAACAAAAACAAAAACGACACTACACTTGGGATCTGTTCAAGAGGGCTTCTGGTAGAAAACTAGGCACTTGGTTTATTCTACAGTCCCTTTTTATAGTCAGAGCAAAGCACTTTGATACAAGGAAGTTCATCAAGAAGTCAAACTTGTTTACCTCAACCACCTGTCTCTGTAATCCTCACACAAACGAAAGGAAGTGAACTTGGCAAAAACATCCTGCCTACTGTCACAAACAAAAGGAGGTGAACTTGGCAACACATCCTGTCTCCATGTGAAGGCCAGGGTGAAAACATGTTTTTCACTGAGAGCTCAATAATAAAGCAGCCTGACAACAATCGGCTCTCCACACTGAATCTGGAAGCAAGCAAGCAGGAGCACTCTCCCTATCTCAGGTATAGGTGTTCACTAGATACTCAGCTTGTTCTTTAGCTTGGGGATCCAGGCTTTGTTCCTCATGATTACACTGCAAATGCTCTCAACTGCTGGGCCATCCCTCCCTTTAGACCCCAATTTTTAATTTTTAGTCATTGTACATTCAGAAACCTTTTGCTGTAGCCCTCCATGTTCAATTAAGTGACCCTATATGGGTCACGATTTAAGAAGCTGGGGTCTACAGTTTACCTAAGCATATCTTGCCCAGAGTAAGGCCTTCCAAAGTAGGTGCAAGTTGTCTAGAGTGGTCCTAACTGAAGCAAGACTTCCTGAAGTGGGAGTCAGAGCTTCACCAGCAGCTGTGGTTGGTTATGCGGCCCTTGTGGCTGGAGTGATTTTTCTCCAAGTGATTGTGGAGTGCTTAAGACAGCCAGACTGCCCTCTGCTGGTTACCAAAAGAGGGGGCTGCCTGGCTGACAGCTCAAAGCAGCCAGGCACAAAAGAGGAAGGTCTGTCAACTGCCACAAGAGAGTGAATTCTTAACATTTCTACCAGTTTAGCTTAACTAACTAACAACTAATCTCCACTTGTAAGATGACATGTTAGACACTTTCAAAATCAGCTGAAAATGCGGTCAGAATGAGTGATTTCCGATAAAGGTGACCCTGGAGAAGTTAAACATTCATGATATTTTTTTTTCTCCACATAATTTGCTGAGAGATGGGTTTTCCCAGTTTCTTATTGACAAACCAAATTCCTGTTATCTTTTGTTAGTTTGAACAACTCTGCCAACTCAGTAGGAAGAACTAGATAACTAACTAACTGTGGTTATAATAAAAACCAATCACAAATTGCCATTCTCAATAGTACTTAACAGTTAAATACTAATAGAGGTCATAGCGCTAACCTTTAGCCACATATCCTTTTGGAGAGATCCCTAGGTCCATCTCAAAGGCAAGGGGTTGAGGGCTTGCTCCCAGAGACCTAATGTAGTCTCTGATAAAGTGTACACCACTGCTCAATAACACCATAGGCTCATGACCAAGCCTCAAACTGGAGCCTTTGGGTGGCCTGTTTAGATCCAAACTGTAACAATGATTATGATTCAGAAAGCACCTGAAATGCCTGGGCTGCTATTATCACTCATCTTCTGCACGTAATCAAAAGGCATCCTGTTCTTGAATACTAGATACAGGAGTACCAGCTGGAGGTGGACCGTGTCCGCCCCAAAAGCACAGTTTTCACATCAAAGGGGGTAAGAGTTTATCCTGGAGCCAAACTCAAGTGATCATGGCCCAGGAATGCAGACTGTTTTCCCCCAAATACAATGTTCCGTTGTAGAAGTGGTTACACAAGATTTTTTTGTTACAAAATAAAGTTGTAAACCAAAGTATTTACCCACCTGTAGGTGGGTCTGCTGCAGATTTCAGAGCCTACCTGATGGCTTTCTTAGCTTTTGCATCCGTGGAAGCTGGCAGTCTGCTAAGAACACATTTTAAGTTTTTGGTAGTTACAGGTTGCTAAGCCAGGGGTGGGCAATGGATGGCTTTAGAAGGGACAAAACAGTTCAAGATAATTTGGTTCTATTATGCAACATTTTAACCACTCCAAAGTCTTTGAAGTTTAGTCATTCCCCTTTAAGATGTTTATTACACAGGTGTGGCCTGCTGCCTTCTTTCTCCCTGTCTCTACTTCTTACTACCCTTGTCATCCTTAGGTCATCCGCCGTAAACAGGACGCGATGATGTCAGGATCTCTTTAAGATAGTAGTGATGGCAGTGGTGAGGTGCATATGTAAAGGATTAAGTGAGGTCTTGATTGTAAGGTGTTAGGCACACAGAGAGCACATCACCAGTACTTAGTAAATAATGACGTTTATGATTTGGTGACTGCTTTGTTTAGCTGTCTAGAAAGAGTATAAGTCATTCAAGAAACTAAGAAAATGAAACAGAAAGTGATGCCAGTAAAAAGGAAAGGCAAAAATTGCTGGTGCAATGCTTTGGTACAAGGCAGTGGTTTTTAAGTTTCCCCCAATTCCTGTCCTTGTCTCCTTTGGCTTGGACTTACCCACTTTCCAAATTCCTCACTTTATTGGTTTAGGACAAAAAGTCGTATCTAATGAATACTTTGTGGCTTGAGCCAAGACCCTCCCCCTTTCTGACCATGAGCCATGAGGCAGCAGACTACCTGTAACTTCATCTTAGTTCTGTGACAAGCAACCACCAGCCACCAGCTAAGGAGGCCTATTGCCTCCTGCTTATCCATAAAAGGACTGGAACAGTCTATTTCTTACAGAATAAGAGCGACTCCAGAATTTCTGGTAGAAGGGACTCGAAGGTATCAATCACATTGGGAATTAAATCGAAACACTCCCTCAACACTGATAATATGTTTAGACAGAGAGAATGAGTAAGAGGTCTTCAGAGAACCAAGGCCCTATCCTCAACCCCTTTGGCATTTCGATCATTCAAGGGTTATTTCACACTCATCCTTCTGGTGTTCTTCCTACCCTGATCAATTAAATAACCAGCCAACAAATACAAAATCTCTGCCAAGACCGGAATTCCAGAAGGGAAAGGAATAAGATAAGCACCTCCCTCCCCCATTCTTCCTAAGAAGCGGGCAGATGTTCTAAGCGGGGCCCTTGGAAGTGTTGCCTGTGCTCCTAATTGCTAAGCCATTCCTTCAGCAACTTGTGTTGTTTTTATCTTTTTGAGACAAGATCTCACAATATATCCCCGACTGGCCTAAAATTCCCTAACTCTGAAATCCACCTGGTTCTGCCTTACAAGTGTGGGCATTAAAGACTGTGCCATCATGACATCTTGCCGCTCAAAGGTGGGCGGTGGGTGAGTGGGGTTGGGGCTACTGCCAGAGTGCAATGTTCATTTCCTAGTGCACCTCAGATCTCTGCCCCGCTGCCTCTCCCCCACCATCACCTCACACGGGACAGCCACAGCCTCTGTTCTCCTTTCCTGCTCCTGCCCAGCGTTCCTAGAAATGTTTTTACCTGGAAGAGGTTTGTCCTTGAAACCCGAGTTTCACTTCTAGTTAGCTATGACCTTAGGCAGATGGAATGTGCCTAGTTTCCTCCATACCAAGATCAAGCTTAGGGACTAACGCGAAAGGCTTAGTGTACCTTCGCAAAATATGTTTTTTAAAAGAAATTTGGCTCTGGTGGTTTTTCATGTTTTAGCAAACAAGCCAAGAAGCAAAATTGGCAAATTATTAAACCGCTTTAATAATATGGCTAAGACTCCAGGCTTTGGTTCCTATTTTAACACACCGGTTAATCGGGCAAGTTCCCTCTTCTGGGCTTGCTTCTTCTTCCGTCTCACGCAGACCAGTGATCCAACACAAAAACTAGTGACCAGCCACCCAGGGCGCTAAAGGTGGGGAGGCTTTATGTGTTGAGGGAAACCAGAAGATTCATAGGAAGATGGCATTCGAATAAGAACAGAAAAATGGTTCCCTGTCGAGGCTTTTAGTTTGCTGGCTCTTTGGGTTTTGAGCATCTGCAGGGATCTCATCTGAAAATGAACCTACTACTTCCTCCTTCCTCCCCCCGAGGTCACTCTGAGGGACGGAGCATGAGCCACAGAAGAGCAGATTACTGCCCTCGATTCCCCGTCCTGCTGGCTCGCCTGCATCCCCGGGAGACCTGGCAGGGTAAAGCTGCCAAGTCAGCCCGCACCACTTAGCAAAATTCCGCGAAAAGGCTGCGCGGCGGTGCCGGCCCCGGCTTTCCGAAGAGAAGGCTCAGCGGAGAGCCGACACATCCCGGAGCCTCCAGAGGGAAAGGCTGGGAGGGGGGACGCGAGGACGCCGGGTCACGTGGGCTGGGCGGGCGCGCGCCCGGGCCCCGCGGGAGGAGGTGCGCAGGAGGGGGCGGGGCCGGGGCCTCCCGTGAAGCCCCGCGCGCCGAAGGACCGGAACTCTAAGCGGGTGGCTTGTTGATAACATGGCGGCAGCAGCTGCCCGGGCATCCCGAGGAGGCGGCGGCGCCCACACCCGGAAGAAGGGGCTGTTTTCGGGCTAGTGCAGCGGTTCCTGCGGACCCGGAAGTCCCGGCCAGCTGCTGAATGAGGGGAGCCGGGCCCTCCCCGCGACAGTCCCCCCGCGCCCTCCGCCCCGACCCGGGCCCCGCCATGTCCTTCTTCCGGCGGAAAGGTAGCCGAGGGGTCGCCGGCGGGGGGCGAGCCGGGCCTCGGGCGGCGGTGGGGCGGCCAGCCTGCAGGGGCTTGGTCAGGGCGGTCGCCAGGTTCTCGGGGAGCCGCTCGGCCTCCGCGCCGACACCCGCGGAGCGCTGTGCTGCCCCGGACTCCGCAGGGTGAAAGGTGGCCTCCTCGTGCGAGGTCGGAGGAGCATTGTCGCGCTGGGCTAAAGTGCTTGCTTAAACCCATAGAAGTTAACACTTGTTTGCTGAAGGATGGCTTTTCTGGTGTGTTTGGTTTCCAGGGGTTTGTATGTGAGTGTTATCTGGGTGCACGCGCGCGCTGTGGATCGAGATCAAGGAAATCCCTTTACTTATAGGAAGTCTGACTTTTCCGAATTTTGAGGGGCTTATACCTGAAACCACGTGACACTTGTTTCTTTAAGTAGCGCTGTTTTCTAGTTTCCTCTCTGGGGAGCAGGGGTGGAGAGCGGAAGGGGCCCCACTGTCATTCCCAAAATAAAATTTCTTACTACTGAAGTTCCGTATTCAGAAGACTGCTGCTTTTGATGATTTAGCAAGTTTACTAATTATTGGAACCGTTGCTGTTTTTATTAATGAGCTACTTAGATTTCTGATGTTCAGTTTTTAAAAAGCTTCCTCAGTTTTAAAGTAAGAGGCAGGGTGATTTTGATCCTGGAGAAGGTTGTTGCATTTCATTAAATATACATACACAAATTGAACAAGTGTATCTCTTTAGATGGTGTTGGTTTTATCTGTCCATTCTTGTTGCTTCAGAGAAGATGTACCAAACATTTTTTTCTTTCTTTTTTAAACATTACACTAAATCAGACTTCATTCACATGATAGCTTTTTTCATAAACTCTGTAACCTGGAACAGCCAGCCAGTTAACCCACTTTTCTCCCAGCTGAGAATCAGGTGATTCCTAAAGGCCTCATAGGACTGAAGCCCACGGTTGATGCTAGATGATGGATGAATGAAACTGGTAAATGGGAGGAAGCTTTATCATTAGAGTATCTTAATTCGTCTGGAGTTGGTAACTGTACCTAGCTTGACAACGTCGGGGTGTTTTGTTTTGTTTTGTTTTTTTTTTAAGGGGACTAATTTAATGTTATACAACAACAGACTGTTGTCTGTTTATTGAACACTGTCAAGTGTCCGGTCGGCCAGACGCTGTCCTAGGGTGTCATTGAACAGTCATCGGGACAGAGTCTCTACCTATGGAGCTCATTGATGCTGTAGGCAGATAATAAATAAGCAAAAAATAAAATTAAAAGTATGTATATGCTCACAAACTGAAAGATGCGCAATGAAGGAGTACTTGATGAGGAGAAACCTATTTTGGTTGGGTGTTACGTACTCAGTATATAACCTTGAAACATAAGGCTAGTGGTAGAATGTAACTGTAGAGAGGTCAGAAAAGACACTGTAGGTACCAGGAATAAGGAGCTGGTGCCTTTTAGGAAAGGCAAGGCAGCAGCTGTGACTGAGGCTCCGAGAGGTAGGGGGGCAGACACCACATTATCGAGAGTTTTAGTCCAAATAGAGAATATATTGTAAAACTTTTGAAGAGGATGTCCTGATAGTAAAAGAGTGGTTTGGTTATTTGCTTAGAAAGCTCATTCTGGAGCTGCATGGCTCAGCAGAAAGAGGGTCTTGCTGTGGAGCCTAACTCACCACCTGAGTTGGAGCCCCTGGACCGCAGTGGTGGAGGGGGAGAGGGAGACTCCCGCAAATTGTCCCCAGACCTCCACACATGTGCTGTGTTGTGTCCATGCTCACAAAATAAATACTTGCACTTAAGAAAAAAAAAAGACTATTCCACATGAATTTTGGAGACTGGATGTGGCAAGAAAAGCTAGAAACAACCATTTTGGGGAGCAGGAGGTGAGACAGTCTGGCTTTGTAGTCCTGATCCTAGCATTTACAGGGTACCCTCAAACTTGTGGCCATTCTTCTGCCTCTTTTAGTATTTGAATAACAGGTACCAACTATCTTCTAAAAAAGTCTTGCAAAGATCCTCATCATTATTTAACTTTTCTTTCTTGGTAAAGGTTTATTATGTTACAATTTATTTAAAATGGTAAATCTAGAAGCAGAAAAAGGAGCCAGTCGTGGTGGCACATGCCTTTAATCCCAACACCCAGGGAGGTAGAGGCAGACAGATTGCTATGAGTTTGAGGCCAGCCTAGTGTACAAAGTTAGTCCAGGACAGCCAAGGTTACACAGAGAAACCCTGTCTTGAAAAAACAAAAAACAGACTCAGAGATTAAGAACACTGGCTGCTCTTCCAGAGGGCCTGAGTTCAATTCCCAGCAATCACATGATGGTTCACAACCATCTATACAGGGATCTGATGCCCTCTTCTGGCCTGCAGGTGTACATGCAGATAGAACACTCACCTACAATAAATAAATACATAAATCTTAAAAAAAGAAAAACAAGACAACAATAAAGCAGGAAGAGGTGGCTGCAGGGTGGTCAGCCCTTAAGAGTGTATGTTGCCCTTGCACAGGGCCCGGTTCTCTAAATCCACATGGCAGCTTATAACATATCTGTGACTCCGGGTCAAGGGAATTCTGTACCCTCCTCTGGCCTCCTTGGGCTTGTTAAGAGTTTATTTTGTATCTGAGTATTTATTTGGTTTTTGAGTTTTCAAGTCATTAACCTGACATGTAGCCATAACTGGCCTTCAATGTACAGCAGTCCTGTTTCAGTCTTCTGAGCACTGGGATTGCAGGAATTTAGCGCAGCCTGGCCTGTCTTCCAGTATACCTGCCCTGGGAGGGATGGAGTTACAAGATGCTCATGTGTCTTTAAGAGTATCTCCTCTTAGATCTCTGTCATCTTATTTCTACTTTCACCTAGAAATGTCTCATAGGAATTAACACTGAATTTTTTTATTTTATTTCATGTGTATGGGTGTTTTGCCTGTGTGTATGTATGTGCACTATGTGTATGCCTTTGCCTGAGGAGCCAGAAGAGGGCATCCAGTCCTCTAGAATTGGAATAACAGATGGTTGTGAGCCACCATATGGGTGCTGAGAATTTATTGTAACTACGTAAGTCCTATATATATATGTATTTTTCTTTACCCATTTTTCTATTTATTTAATTTTTGCTTACAAATATTAATGTTGACGATCATTTAATTAGGTATCTTTTTATGCAGCTATGCAAGAGTATCACCAGGCTGAGATAATAAATGCAAAGTGGTTAGAACAATTACCGTGGCCATGCTTTCTCTGTTCTCCTCTGTGCTATTTTAACTGTTGCCAGCTTTCTCTTTCTGAAATGTTATTATTAATAGGCACGGTTGTACACTGGGAAGCCAAGATACAGCTCCCAGAGCATAAACTATCACACCTGGCCACTTGGCCTTATGCTTCTAACCAGCTGAATAGTTCATGACTCTGAAACTCCGAAGACACAAGCAGAATGGGGAGTGCCTTCATCAATGCAGTGACCTCAACCTCCAAGGGCTGCTCAAAGATCCTGCCTGCATTTGCCGGACCTACCCAAGAGCAGCAAATGTGTGAACTAATTTCAGCCCACCCCAGGACACTCAGAAACTGCATTTGGGCTGGAGCCCTTTTCTTCTAGAAACTTGTTTTTAAAAATCTTCACATTAAAATGGTGTGAGTTTGTATATGTGTGGGGGGTGGCTGGGTACAGGTGCCCTGAGTGCAGAAGAGTGTCAGATCTCCTGGAACTAGAGTTAGAGTCAGTTGCAAGCCTCTCCACATGAGTGGTGGGATCCTAACTGGGTTTTTGTTTTTTTGAGACAGGGTTTCTCTGTGTAGCCCTGGCTGTCTGGAACTCTGTAGACCAGACTGGCCTGGAACTCAGAGACTCACCTGCCTCTGCCCAAGTGCTGGGATTGGAGGTGAGCACCATGACAGGCAGTAGTGTGTACTCTTAACTGCTGAGCCTTCTTTTCAGTCTGTTTTCTTTAAATGCCATTCTTTATCCTAAGATCAGATTTTTTTCTCTCTAAGTCATTTCAGATTTTGTTTTATTCACATGTGGTGCTTTCTATTTAGAGATTTTTATATTTGTGTTTCTGTGTACACAAGTGTAATTGGCATGTAAGATAAAGGCAACATTGTGGAGTCGGTTCCCTTCTCCCACCTTAATATGGGCTCTGTAGATCAAATTCAGGTTAATCAAACTTATGTGGTAAATACTTCATGGAATTTGATTAAGCCATCTCTCTAGTCTTTGGAGTTTATTTCTCTATCTCAGAGACAAGATATAGACCATTCATCAAATCTCCCACACCACCTAATTTTTGGGTTTATTTTTAGATTTAAGTATGTATATGAGTGTTTTGCTTACATGTATGTATGTGTATCATGTGTGTGCCTGGTGTCCTAGGAGGTCAGAAGAGGAGGTTGGGTCCTCTGCAACTGTAGCTGTGATGGCTGTGAGCCACGTTGTGGGTGCTGGAAAGCAAACCTGGTCTTCTGAAGAACAGCACATTATCTTGACCACTAAGCCATCTCAACAGCACAGTCACCACCAGCTTTTGAAACAAGGTCTTATTGAAACAGACATGTCTGAGTGTTTGATAGTGTAAACAGGCCTCTGAGGTCATCTCGACTTAAAGTAGTTATAATTTGGGACTAATGGAATGGCTCAGCAGGTCAAAGTGCTTGCCGGGCAACTCTGACAACTTGAGTTCAGAATCTGGAAAGTGAAAGGAGTCCCTTACTAGTAAAGGAGAAAGGACTCACAAACATTGTGCTCCACACATGTATACTGACATAGACACACACACAATGTGTCAAGTAAAATAAAACTTTGAGATAAAAAAATGTGTATGAGTGTTTGCCTGCATTTGTGTTTATGCACCTTGTAAATGCTGTGGCCCTGGAGACCGGAAGAGACTCGATCGCCTGTAACTGGAGTTCCAGTCAGTTGTGAGCCACCATGTGATGCTAGAAATCACACCTGGGTCCTCTGGAAGAGCAGCTAGTACTCCACCACTGAGCCATCTCTCCAACCCCAAATGAAGATTTAAAAGATACTTATACTCTGGCCCTTTTCAGAATAAGTTTGTAGCCTTTAATATAGGTATAGATGTATAGATGCAGATATAGAATAAGAGGCAGATGTGGAATTTTTTCTTTCAGCTGTTAACCAGTTATTTCATAAGCAAGGTGATAGCAAAATACTGCTGCTTTCTCCATCCTTAGAAAATTAGCTCCCTCTTCACATTTAAGCTGAAATTCAATTAACATCTCAGAGGACTTCCATAGTCTCCCTGCCTAAACTGAGGTGACTGCTTCAATCAGTGTTGTCAAAAGGGTGATGACACTGGCTGAATTTAGGTTGTGTGCTGGGAGAGATCCCTTAGAGACCTGCTGACTTATGGTATACGGAGTAGGAGAGATAGCTTCAAGGATGGAGTGAAGTGTTATTCCTAGAGAGTAAATACTAAAAACCTGAGGCTAGGTCTTCATGTGCCAAGTTAAGTTTCAAGTCAACCTGTCAGAGATAAAAAAAAAAAAAAAAAGTGGACCAACACTTAGCTACACCAGTCTGGACTTAGATAAGGAGCAAAGCTGTAAAGTTGAAAGTTAGAAATACACAGGTGACGTTAAAAATGGTATTGGCCCTGACTATCACGAGGTACCTGGTCTCCACCACTTTCCTACCTGTTTTACCTTTTCACGAGCCCGCAGCAACAGCAAGCAGTGGGCTCCAACCTCTGAGATCAACTTCTCAACGGAAATGACAGGACAGAAAGAATCATGGTGACTAAAAATTGGTGGTGCATGTCTACACATACAAACACATACTCTTAAGAAGCTAGTTTTATGGGGTACTTCTGTGTGAGAGTATACGGATTGTCGCGATAGACTTGAAGATAGTATTGAAAAGAGAAATGAGAATCTTGTAATTCCATCCCCTCCAGAGCACAGGCTTCACTGTCTATCAGAAGAGACATAGGCCACAGTGGGGGTACAATTGCAGCACTTGGAAGGCTGAGGTAGGAGGACTCCTGTCAGATACTGGTCACTCAGTCACACAGTCCTGACAGCAGTGGCTACGTTCCTGTTTTGGTGCCTACATGCTTGGAAGTAAATTTGCTGAAGGCAAGGGCGCGTTCTGGCGCAGGCGAGTTGGCACACGGGAGATTCAGGTTGTTGGGTTGATGTTAGGGAGCTACTTGAGAGCTAGCTATTTTTTGCTGCTGACATTTCAACTTTAATACTATTTCAGAACATAGAGACATGGGCACATTCTGAGATTTCTTACTTTGATAAGCCACTCAAGATGAGTTCAAGGAAATTTAATGTTAAGACAAAACACAAGAAAAGTAAAGATTAAAAATAACCTCTTGTCAGGTCTTATAATAGAATCCACACTTGCCTAGAGCAGCTTTGCAGCTTTCTTGCTGTTGTGAGCTTATCTGCTATAGAATTTTCACTGTTTTGTGTAATAAAGGAAAGATTATGTAATCATTTTAGAGACAACTTGTTAGACCTTAAGCTTAGGAATTGAGGTTGTAAGTTTGGGATGTTTGTGCCCAAAGCTAGGGAGGGCATACAAAAGAAGTAAGATGTTACATATAACCAAGAGGTCTTTTTCTTTTTTGTGGGCAGCATAGGGGTGACTCGTGGTATTAACATTCATCCTAAATTCATTTCAAGTGCCTTTTGCAAGTATTTTATTTTTCATCAGCAACCCTCTTAAGTTTTATTAATGACCTGTTTTACTACTTGAGGAAATTAACATTCAGTGAAATAAAATAACTTGTCCAAGATTACATGGCTGATAAGTAGCAAGAGGCAGAACTTGAATATAGATGTTTTGAAGGTTGGCTCTTCAGAAGCCCTCCCAAAGGATTGCTGTTCAAAGGTTATTTTCTCAGAGAATTTTTTTGAGAACTGACTCCTCCCCCAGGGCACAGAATTCGTTGTTCTGGAACTCAGAATACTCATTCTGTTAGATTCAAGTGTCTCTGATGTTGACAGTGTATAGAATGGATCTCTTTCACTGCAGAAGTTGGTCATGATGCCCTTTTGTGTTCTAGTGAAAGGTAAAGAGCAAGAGAAGACCTCAGACATCAAGTCCATTAAAGGTGAGTGATTCTCCTTTGTATTCAGGGTGATGCCTGGGCTTTGTGGTTGTAAGTGCTCTGATTTTCATTTCCTCTTTTGTGATGACAGTGATCATTCTCCGTTATTATTAATTGTGATTTATGTCTCTTCTTAACATGTATATTTTAACAGGCTTTTACTGAGCATTTGCTGGCTGTCCTAAAATGAACTGGTTCTTTTTTATTAATCACACGTTTGATTGGTCCCTAACAGTCATTAGTTGGCTTTTTCCAGTAAAACAAACACTGAGCTGTGACAGCTAGAGAGACTCCCATTTACAAGGCTGGTTTCTGTCTGTTCAGAAATGTGAATGAGTACAGTATTCACTGTATTACTTAGGATCAGTGGCCTTCATTTAGCTTATTTATGGTACATGGTAGACATTAACACACTGTTCTTATTTATGGGTTCAAGTGTGCTTTTTTTGGTTATCATCTCTTTTTTTTTGTTATCTTTTATTCAGTGTCTAGTGTTCTGAGATTAGAATGAGAACACTTACAGTGGAATGTTATTTACATAGCCAGTACACAGAACATTCATTGTATAACATTGTAAAACTATGCAGACTGCCACGTAGATTGTTCTTTGCTAGTATTTTATGAAACATGGCCGGAATTGAGTGTTTACTGGCTGCTTAATTCGCCAGAGAGTTTAATTATAACATTTGCAAGATTAGAGGAAAAAAAAAATGCCTGCATAGTCTTACTGTAAACTTGATACTGGTAATTTAAGGTAAGTTTAAACTTCTCTCTTTAAGACAGGTGTTACTGGTATTTGGTAAAGGTCCTGAGCGGAGGCTTATGAAGATCTAACTGGTGGAAGGAAGGGACTAGAACTCCATGCCATTGAACTGCAGTCACTCAAAACTGATACTAGTAGCTTAACTTTGGAAAGTCATGGAACTTTCTTCAGATTCTTGTACAGTGAGGAGATTGTCCTTGTTATCTAGTGGGTTTATAATTCTCTAAACTAAAATCGAGATTTAAAAATTTCATGCTAGGAGGGTAAGGTGAAACAGGCCTTTAATCATAGCACTTAGGAGACAGAGGCAGGCAGAGCCCTTTGAGTTTGAAGCCACTCTGGCCTACATAGTACATACCAGGACCGCCAGTGCTACATAGTTAGACCCTGTCTCAGAAAAACCAAGTAAATAAATTGTCCCACAATAATAAATCCACAAATAATATATAAAGTAAAATAAATTTCATACTCATAATCTCTGCTTAGCAGTTAAGATCTTGACCGAAATATTAAAAGAAACAGTTCTTCAAGAGGTTTACACTGTGAGGGTCCTTGAGAGGCTCAGTGGGTAAAACAGCTTGTGGCAGGAGAGAACTAATTCCTGATTCCTTTTATTTCCACAAACACTCCCTGCCATGTGTGTACCCACACGTTTGCATGTATGAACATGCACACATATGCACATAACACAAACATACGTAAGGGTGAAAGTAAAAGTTGCAGTCTGATAAACAGGACCTACTTAGATGTACACCAGCAAAAATAGTAATGGCCACCATTTATAAAGTACTTTTTAAATTGTTGGTATTTTAAAAAGTTGGCTGTAACAGAAACTGTGAAAGACTTGGATATTGCCTTTATGGGGTTCATGGATTGGTAGGAGAGAGGAAAATTTGCTAAATAATTTTACAGGTAGCTTGAACATGTGATGGGAATAAAGGGATCAAGACAAAATTGAAAGTCAAGCAGGTAAAATGAATTGAGGTTTGTTATTGATTAAATCTGAGACATGAGAGACATGGACGTAATGATTTCAACTTGCTACCTTTCTGGCTTGCCTCACAGAAACCAGCTGGGAAATTCCATGTTCAGTTGTGGTATATTGAGTGGGAAGTGCTTTTGAGTCATTCATTTGCATATGTTTCACACCTAGGAATTTTAGGGTCTGAGGTTTTAACCAAAGGTATGAGACTCTAGGCGACCTGGGCTGGAATTCTGCCTGTTGAAGTGCCTCTTTCCGAGTTCATAGACTTGGACAAAGTATTTAACGTTTCTGTGTGTTCACCTTTACCTATAAAATTGAGGAAATGCCAGTCTTGAAAATTTGTTCAGAGACCCAAACATAAGTGAAAACCCGTGGTCAAAGCACTGGAGCACCTGGTGTTCTAGTGGTAGTGATTACTGCCCAGAGTTAACATACTGAGCTGAAGTGAAATATTGCAAGGAGCCCAGAACAGTTAAGGTCAGCAGACAAAGGGAACAATTCATGGAAATGATAAGGCTTGAGGATTTGAATGAGAGAGAAGGGTTGTTTGTGTGTGTGTGTGTGTGTGTGTGTGTGTGTGTGTGTGTGTGTATTAGTTTTTGTCCTTGCTGGCCTTTAAATTTTTTTGAATAGATATATGAAGCAAAGGGGCCTTCAGATAAGAAGGGAAGTTTTTACCAAAGGATTGAAATGAGGTTATACAGAGCCATAAAGGCCAGTAAAGAGGCCCTGGTCACTGAGTCGCTGCCAAGGACTCAGCTGCCTCTCCCTCCAGCCCAGTCGCTTCCTGATGCTCCTCTGTCCACCCCCACCCCCACCCCTGCCCTCTTCTGCAGCCGCTTTCAGCAGGCATTTCCACTGAGGAGAAGGATTGTATCAAATTCCTGCTGTCCAGAACCTTCAAATAAAGGTGATGACCTACTTCCGGCTGGCTCTGAGGATTACATATCCATGTAAGAATTCCACTGGCAGGAGGACCCTTACTACTCATTACTGCTCATTATTAATGATAAAAAGAAACTAGTGAGGCATTTAAGAAACTTTCCTTTGTTACCTACTGTTGCACTGAAATTGAGCATCCAGAATATGGAGAAGTAGTTTAGCTACAAAGCATATACCAGTTCCTGATAGAGATTGGACTAGCTAAGATGATGACCTGAAGGTTCCTGCGTTTAAGTGCTTATTGCTCTCTGAGGCTTAAGTAAGGATTTTCTTACAGTGAGCGAAATTTCCCTTCTGTCCCTTGTCACAATTTAAAAAAATACTCATATCTTGTGTAATATATCTTACAAATCTGTCCATTTGGGGGTCCACTTACTTTCAACTTGTACTAGCGTAACTCCTTCATACAATAAGCTGAAAAGAGCCATGACCCTAAAGAAAAGAAAACAACAGAAAAAAAAGTTGAATCAGAGAAAATAGGGAGCCACTGTGGGCCTTTTAATAGACTACTGACACCATAAGGTTTGTTTGTTTGTTTGTTTTTTGTTTTGTTTTATTATTTTTGAAGGGGTAGTCTGGAAGGATTTTAAGGTGGAGACTCAAATTCTTTTGTACTATAGAAAAAGAGTTTACTCTTGAAAATAAATAAGAAAGTAAAGAAACAAAAAAAATTAGCTAAAGAGTAAGACCAAGTTTTTGAGCTTTGTAGACTGGTGGATTTGAACAGACAGGGAAGTTAGAAAGAATTGGTTTAGAAGAGGTGATATTTTATGTTTGGACAAATATGGCTCAAGGAGGCAAAGCCAGAGTAGGAATTCCCAGCAATAAATAAGAAAAGAAGTAAGAGCAGAGCCCAGATAAAGGACAGGTGAGAGATCGGGTCAGGGGCTCACCAGTTGCTCTGCAGAGGCTCCCCCTAGCTGTTGCCTGCTTCTGTTGGTTTTGTAGATATAATGGGGTATGATTTGTATTATTTTTTTAAATATTTATTTATTTAATTTATGTATATAAACACTCTGTTTTCATGCACACCAGAAGGGGAAATCAGATTCAATTGCAGATGGTTGTGAGCCACCATGTGGTTGCTGGGAATTGAACTCAGGACCTCTGGAAGAGCAGCCAGTGCTCTTAACTGCTGAGCCATCTCTCCAGCCCCCGATTTGTATTATTTATTTGGGGCAGGGAGAAGAGCTTTAGCTTAAAGTTTGAAAACTGTTACTCTAGAAGAATAAATGTACTTTCTAGAAGAAAACATCCTTGTTAACATCTCTTGTTAAATTCTCTTGTTAACATCCTTAACAAGAGAAGTCAGGGAAAGTCTGATAGTGGACATCTAAGAGATAGGTTTTAGAGTGACAGGGACAGACTCAAGATGAATTAGGGAGTGTAGTTCCATGGAGACCAAAGAAAGAGACTGTGAAGAAGGAACAGGTGGATTCGAGGCATGCATTCTAACAGGGTACTGAGTGTTTTCTCTGCATGTATATGTGTGCATTGTGCATATAGAGGCCAGAGAGGGTATGGGGCTAGTGCTAAGATGGTTGTGAGCCAGCATGTGGGTGCTGGGAACCTGGATCTTCTCCAAGAGCAATAAGTGCTAACTGGTATACCACCTCCTCAGCCCCTAAAAGTACTACACAAATGAATTCATAGCGTTTTTATTATGATGGACATCTAACTAAGATATAATTAGAAAGCTGGGCATGGTGGCACATGCTTTAATCCCAGTACTCAGAGAGGCAGAGGCAAGGCAGGCAGATCGCCATGAGTTCAAGGCCAGCCTGGTCTACAAAGCGAGTCCAGGACAGCCTAGGCTACACAGAGAAACTGTCATGAAAAACAACCACTCACATAGAATTTTCTATGTAGCTATTGTCTGTATTAGAAAACTAGCCAGGGATGGTGAGACAGCTCAGTGGCTAAAATTGCTACCTGTGCAAGCCTGGAGATCCCAGGTTTGATCCCCTGGGACCTACATAAAGTTGGAGGAAAGAATCAGTTCTACAGAGTTGACTTCTGCTCTCTATGTGTATACTGTGGCATATGTACTCATATACATACTTGCAAATGAACGTTTTTAAATCTAAAGCTGGCCCTGTGCATACCCATAATCCCTACATTCTTGAGCCTAAAGCAAGGAGGATTGTGAGTTTGAGGATAGCCTGGCCTACGTAGTCAGACCATGTCTCAAAAATAACAGCTAAACAGCAAAACTGTTGTTTATAAACTTGCTAAAATGGCTTTACTTTCTTCAATTTAATATGAAATAAAAACTAAGACAACTTAGTTTTAAGTTAAGGGAGTAAAGGCATGGGACACTATGTCCTGCCTAAGAGTATTTATTTTTAAGTTTCTTAAACTTCAGTCATCATTGTCTTTTATTAGGTGGAGAAACTTTGTTGTTCAGTTAAAAAAGTATTATAATGAATATTTTTCTGATTTTTTTTTTTTCATGAACTTATCCTAAATTTCAGTTTTGTTGTGAAGTAAGCAAAGATTAAGAAATTGAAAAGGACCGCATTTCATAATGCTTTCTAGATTTTTATACTTCACCCTTTTGGGAGACAAGTTTTGCCCTGTTGTCCAGACTAACCTGGAACCTGACTTGCTTCCTGACTTGGCTCCCTGTTGTGATTGCAGTTGTGGAGTACCAGACTCAGCTCAGCTTTGCTCAAAGTGTTCAGAGAAAGATCTCTCTAAGTTATATTTTGGTGCAGTGCTTTGAGAGTTATAAATAATAGAGTATCTTCTTTCCATTTTGCTACTGCTTGGTAACCTCTAACTATTTATTTGGTTTTTGGAGGTGGGCTATGAAGCCCTGGCCATCCTGGAGCACTGTCAGTAGGCCAAGCTGGCCTTGAACTCACGGAGATCCACCTGCCTCTGCCTCCTAGTTGCTGAGATTAAAGGCATGTGCCTATTTTATTTATTTAATGTGTATGGGTGTTTGGTCTGCTTGTGTGTCTGTCAGTGTGCAACTTGTGTGTCTGTGCATCATGTTAGTTTCTCGTCCCCACAGACTCCAGAAAAGGGCACCAGATCACTGGAACTGGTGTTGCAGATGTTTGTGAGTCTTTATGGGGTTCTGGGCGTGAACTTGGGTGTTTTGGAAGAACAGCTACTGAGCTAGCTCTTTAGGCCCTTAACTAATATTTGAGTGTTGCTTAGGTATTAGAAAAGTTAAATTTTTAAAGTTTTCTTAAAGCCTGCCATGGGTTTTAAGTCATCAATTGTGTTTAACTTTAAATATATATTTTTTTCAAATTTTATAGCTTCAATAGCTGTACATTCCCCACAAAAAAGCACTAAAAATCATGCCTTGCTGGAAGCTGCAGGACCAAGTCATGTTGCAATCAATGCCATTTCTGCCAACATGGACTCCTTTTCAAGTAGCAGGACAGCAACACTTAAGAAACAGCCAAGCCACATGGAGGCTGCTCATTTTGGGGACCTAGGTAAGTGACTGCCACTTCTTGTTATCTCCTAATCAAGGACAGACATGATAAAACACGTAAAGTTTCAGTGATAGGATACTGAACTGTATGTCATTGAAAGACCTATTTTGAAAAAAATACATTAAAAAAAGCTGCAAGTGTAATGAGGAAGTGCTGTATTGTGTTCATGTAAGTAAGTAATAGGCAGGACCAATAAAAAAAATGAACAGTTTATAGGAGAGATGCATTTGACCACTTAATAAGATTGCACACAAAAAGATTGCTCCGTCATTAGTTCTCAGGGACATACAAATTGAAATACTGAGTTAAAATACTGAAATACGAACAGAGTTTGCTAATTTGAATATTAAGTGGGGCTGAGGGAAGTGGCCACTGCTAGTTGTAAATGAAGACCATTTTGGAAAGCAGTCAGGTTGGTAGTGTGGTCTGATTGTGCTGTTAGAAAAGCTGGTGGGCTGTCTTTAGATAGGAAATTGTTAGCATATGGCTGATTCATTTGAGTCTGTCTTTTAGGAAGATCCTGTCTGGACTATCAAACTCAAGAGACCAAATCAAGTCTTTCAAAGACCCTTGAGCAAGTCTTGCGTGATCCTGTTGTCCTCCCATATTTCCTTCAGTTTATGGAACTTCGGAGAATGGAGCACCTGGTGAAATTTTGGTTAGATGCTGAAAGTTTTCACTCTACAACATGGTCCCGAATAAGAGCACACAGTCTAAACACAGTGAAACAGAGTTCACTGGCTGAGCCTGTCTCTCCATCTAAAAAACATGAAACTACAGTGTCATTTGTAACTGAGTCTCTTGACAGGAGGTTGGGGGATTCCAGCTCGGCCTCGCTGCTTATGGCTCAGTCAGAAGGAATTGACCTGAGTAGTAGAACTCAGAATCACTTGCTGCTTTCCCAGGAATGCCACAGTGCCCATTCTTTCCATCTTGAAATGGCCAGAACAGGAACTCATCAAATTTCCATGGACACCCCAGAATCCTCTTCCAGACTTCCAGTAGCCAGTAGAAATAGTTCCTCTTCTCCATTGCGAGAAATATCAGGAAAACTAATGAAAAGTAAGTATGTGCTGCCTGTGTCTCATCACAACACAGAACAACTCCTCCTCCTCCTCCTCCTCTTCTTCCTCCACCTCCTCCTCCTCCTCCTCCTCCTCCTCCTCCTCCTCTTCTTCTTCTTCTTCTTCCTCTTCTTTTTTCTTCCTCCTCCTCTTCCTCCCTTTTTTTTTCAGGACAGAGTCTTTCTGTGTAGCCTTGGCTGTCCTGAACTCCCTTTGTAGACTAGGCTGGCCTTGAACTCTTAGAGATTCACCTGCCTCTGCCTCTCACTCCCTGAGTGCACCAGTGCCGGCTTAGGGTAACTCACTTTTAACTCTTTGTGTATGTGTGTATTTTTAGGAAGCTTCTAGGTAGTAGTATTCCATAGGACTTTTTCAACAGGCCTTTAGTGGAGCTCATCCCTCCCTATCCCCTTTTCTGCCTTTCCCTCCTTAACTCACCCAGTTTAACCCTTCCTGTTATGCCTCTTAAAACACTGTATTCCATCTCTTCTCCCCTAAAAGCACCTATTCCTCATGGCTCCTTATTCATTTTCTGACATTTGCATATTCCAGATGAAATACACATATATGCAGATTGAACGCTAATAACCACAAATCACAGAAAGCCTGCATGCGCTGTTTTCTTTCTCAGTCTGGGTCACCTCACTGAGAATGATTGTTTCCTCCTCCATTTACTGGCAAATTTCACTTTTCTTATTAGCTGAATAATCTTTTCTTATGTAGATGTACACATCTTCATGCTTCATTCAGCAGTTAGATCTATAGAACATTCCACCCAAAAAATACATGTTCTTCCAAGCAGCCTATGGAACTTTCTCTAAAATAAACCATAAAGTAGGACACAAAACAAGTCTCAACAAATGTAAGAAAATTGACTCACATCTTGTATTCTATCTGATCTCCATGGGATAAAGCTGAATATCAACAATAGAAATTCTAGAAAGTATACAAATTGAACAGCACTGAGTCAAAGTACAGCGAAATGAGAAATTCAGAAGAAAGTTTTTATTAAGACCAGCCTGTTTGGAAGCCAGGGAGAGCTCTGTTAAACAGAGAAACCCTGTCTCAAAAAAAACAATAAACAAACAAACAAATAACCTCTGGAAATGAAAATACAGCATGCCAACATCTAGGAGGAACAGTGAAGCCAGTGCCAAGAGGGAAGCTTAGCCACCGTGTGTGATACTTTGTTCTAACTTAATGATGCACAGGAAGGTCTCAGAAAAATAAGAACCCTCAATAGCCCAAACAAGTAGACAGGAAGAGATCAAAATCAGGCGTGAGAGGTGCAGAGAAGGTTAAGGGTTATACCGAAGTCAGGGCTGAAGTCAGTAAAAGAAATACAAAGAGTCAGTGAAACAAAGTTGGTTCTTAGGGCAAATTAACTAGAAGAGAGAGAAGATCCAAATTAATAAAATTAGAGATGAAAAGGGAAACATTACAACAGACATTGAGGAAATTCAGAGAACCTTAAAGATATACTTTAAATATCTATTCCTCTGAACTGGAGAACTAAAATAAACCGTGATGATCTACCTACCAAAGTTCAATTATGATGAAGCAAACCGTTTGCTTTCATCTTTCTAACAAGTGCTTGACAATACAAACTAAGGAAGAGATGGTCTGTTCTAGACTCAGTTTCATTGGGTTAAGACCATGCTTCCTCCTTGACTCTGTGTTTAAATGTCTCAAACATTATAAATGTAGATTTATAAAGATTTTTGAGCTTCTACGGTTATATTACTGTATAGATACTTTAGGCAGAGACTCCAGAGAGGAGACACAGAGAACATGTTTGCATCATTGTACCTAAGAAGCTTAGTAGCTCAGACAGTGGAAGAAATAAGTGACACAAGGTTTTTCTGTGCTGTGACCACACAGTGAAAGGATAGCTTTCCGGTGGAAGTTGACTTGTAATGGTACCTGGCTGTTAGGAATGCAGTTCATTTCAGTGATCCAAATTGCATTTTGATTTTGAAGTTGCCCTCTTCTTCCCTTGCAGGCATAGAACAAGATGCAGTGAATACTTTTACCAAATATATATCTCCAGATGCTGCTAAACCAATACCAATTACAGAAGCCATGAGAAATGACATCATAGGTAAGTCATGCTTGAAATCATAGGGAAAAGAACTGGCTAGTTTGGTTATTGAATAGGTGATTTTTTTTTTTCTTTAATTGTCATTATTATTGGGGTTTTTAATTTGTTTTGTTTTGTTTGTTTTTTTCAGACAGGGTCTCACTAGATAGCCATGGCTAGCCTGGAACTCTGTGAAGAGAAGGCTGGCCTTGTAGAGCTCCATTTGCCTCTGTCTCCTGAGTGTTGGGCTTAAAGGCGTGTGTCCCCAAATGTAGCCCCCCCAATTTTTTTTTTTTTTTTTTACTATTCTTATGTCTATATACATGTGCATGCATGAATTGATGTAAGTCACAAGTGCAAGAGCTCAGACTCAAAGCATCAGGCTCCTGGAACTGGAGTTACTGGCAGTTGGGTATGGTTATGTAGGTGCTGGGTACCAAACCCAGGTTCTCTGCCAGAGCAGCAAGTAGTCTTAACTTCTCAACCATCTCTCCGGCCCTAAGAAGATTGTGCAGTGTCCATGTGTGCATATGTGTGTGTATGCGTGCGTGCCTGCTTGAGTATGCACCATGTGCATGCAGGAACCTGCAAAGGTCAGAAGAGAGCATTTGATCCCCTGGAATTGGGGTTGTCGGCAATTGTGAGCCTCAGTGCGGGTGCTGGTAACTAAACCTATGTCGTCTGCAAGACCAGTAAGTACCATCTCTCTAGCCCTTCAAGGTAATTTTCTTTTATCTGATTTTAGCTCACTTTCTCTCTTGTATGTTGACCCAGATTCTTGGAGAGGGACCAGTAGTAGCAAGCACAACAGTAACATTTTTATTGACTACTCTGTATGTCCCAGACAGTATTCTGAGGACTTTCCATGTATGAATGTATTTAATAAGAATCTCTTGTGATAAATACAGTTGCTATTTTGTAAATGAGGAAGCTTGAGAATAGAAAAGTTAGGTTCTTTCAAGGATATGGCATGGAGGGTTTGTTTGTGCTTTGTTTCATTTTTGTTTTTGTGGACGGTCTCACTGTGTAGCTCTAGTAGGCCAGTAGTTGTTACGTAGACCGGGCTAAACTCAACAATCTGTCTTACTCTACCTTCTGAGGGCTGAGATTAAAGGTGTGAACCACCGTGCTCTCTGTGACAGTATTTTCATTGTGTAAGTTGACATTAGCCTTCTCTTAATGACCTCACATCCCTGTTCCCCCACCCCCCAAAAAAGACTAGACTATAAAAATCAAGTGTTTCAGAGTTGTTGAGAAAAACACTTCGAAAATGTATTTCTATCATACATATGTATGCTTAGATAAAACTGTGTCAATAACTGGATTCTCTCTGGCTCAAACTTTTAAAATGAGAAGAGGCTCTGGAGAAAGGACTAAGTGGTTAAGAGCTCTTCCTGTTCTACCAAAAGACCCCATTTCAGTTCTCAGTACCCTGTAACTCCAACTCCAGGGCCCTGTATCTTCTTTTGGCCTCTGAGGTTACCTGCACACATGTGAAACACACACCCCCACAAAAATAAAAATAATTTAAAATGAAAACTGTGGGGCTGGAGAGATGGCTCAATACTTAAGAACACTGCTCTTACCTGGGCATGGTGACACACACTCTTAATCCCTGCACTGGGGAGGTAGACGCAGGTGGATCTCTGTGAGTTCCAGGCCAGCTAGGGTTGCTACACAGAGAAACCCTGTCTTGAAAAACAAAAACCAAAGGGGGGAAAAAAAATAAAAGCACTGCTCCTCTTTCAGAGGACCTGAGTTTGATCCCAAGCACCCACACAGTGGCTCACAGTTGTAGGGGCTCTGGTGCCCTCTCTGGCCTCTTGGGCACCAGGCATGCATGTAGTACACAAAAATAAATGCAGACAAAACACCTAGTCACATAAAAGAAATTATTAAAAAAAAAAGTTGGGGGAAGATCTCTGTGTGCCTGTGAACAGCTCTGAGAGCAGTGTTGGGGCGGTGAAGACAGATTAAAATACAGTTTCAGGGAGAGAAAGATGTTAAATGATGCTGGTGGTTAACTAAGATGGACACTAAGAATTCAAAGGATTTGGCAGCCCTGTATACACTCCTCATCTTAGTGATAGTAGACTGTAGATAAAATTTAATTTTAAGCCAGGTGCAGTGGTGCACAAGAAACCCTGTCTCGGGGAAAATTAAAACAAAACAACAACAAAACACCTTAATTTTGAGAGTCTTTACAGAGCTGGATATGGTGGCACAGACCCTTAATCCCAGTACTCAGGATGCAGAGGCAAGCGGATCTCTCTGTTCAAGGCCAGCCTGGTCTACATAGTGAGTTCTAAGACAGCCGGAGCTAAATAGTGAGATCTTCATCTCAAAAGGAAAAAGAAAATATTTAAAGAAAATTGGAAGAGTGGAGCAGCAAGTATTGAAAATTCTTCTGAGCCATAATGGTGTGACAAGTGTGTTAAGTCAAGGGGCTTCGTTTTTAGAGTAAATGTACTGCAACCACTAGAGTTTGTTATCACATTTAAACCAGAGCGTGTGCTTAGTGTTCCTCAGGCGGCTAATGGAAATGAGATAGTAGTGGAACAAAAGTTGATGGAAAAGCCTTGCAGAGGCAAAAAGGATGGAATTTCAGAGCTGCAATAGAAGGTTGCTCAGATAGGACCAAGAATGGTTCATCTGGGCTGAGTGTGGGTGGCTTAGTGGTAAAGAGTACTTGATGCTCTTACGGAGGACAGAAGTTCAGTTCTCACTCAGCATTCACGTGCCTGTTCACAACTGTCTGTGACTCCAGTTGCAAGGCCTCTTCTGTCTCCTTGAGCGCCCGTCATGCACACGGTGTGTCTATAGACATGCAGGCAAGATATTCATACACATAAAATAATTAAGAAAGAAAGGTTCTTCTGTAGTGATGGGGACAAATGCACCCTGTGGGGGTGAAGGGGGACGTAATCTCGTTCTCTGGCCTTTTCAGTGCAGTAGGAAGTGAAGTTCTCAGCAGAGAGAATAGAAGAGGTGTTACATGCATGAGGGGGAAACATTTAGTTTCTCTTGCTATGATTTCACAATTGTGAGACTGGTCTGTGACCCCCAGGCACGTGGGGCTTTCTCCATCGACAACCAGTGAAGCAAATAATTCTCTAGTAGATGCTCCTTATATGTCTTTGTTGTCAATTCAGTTCTGTCACTGGCTTCCTAGAAATAGCCTCAGATTTTACAGATTGAGTGCTTGGTCCCACAGGACTTCCCGCTTCTAAGAAGGTTGGGGCTTCTTACTCACCCTCCTTGGTTTGATTAGTTTGCTGGAGCAGCTTGTAGAATCTAGGGGAATATTTATATTTTCTAATTTATTATAAGGGATATTTAGGAGGGATACAGGTCCATGGTTAACGGAAGGCTATGGACAAGGCAGGTAGGAGAAGGAACATGGAGCTTCATGCTTTTCCACATGTACACCACGTCTGTATGATCATTAATGTGAAACTCCTCTTTCTTAGCCCCGTATGTTAATGAAAGTTCATTCTGTGAGCATAGCTGAGTATGATTATTGGCTGTTAGTCATTACCCTGCCTTCAGTCCCCTTCACTGAAAATCCTAGCTGTCTCACAGGCCGTGGTCATAAACTCCAGGCATTCTGGTCATCAGGCCCCTTTCTGACTGCTTTCTAAGTGTTCATGACTCCTGGTTATCTCATAAGCATATTTTAAAGATTCATAACTCCAGAGACTCCAAGAAGTTTAAAAGCTGACTGCTAGGAAATTGGTAAAAACCACACACACATCCATATTTCAGCAGAGTATTGTCTGGAGAGGGTGAATAAAGGATCAGGATGACTGACCCTTGAGTTTCCTGTAGCCTCTTTAAAGATGGACTGGGCAGAACTGACCGCTATGGGTGTTTGAGAGTTTTTCTGGTGATATTTATTAGTCAGAGCTCTTTATAACTCTCACTTCTAAAATTTTAAGTCTGTAATTCATTAGGTCACAGTCTCTTAAATAAAATGGTTGATGAAACATATTTTGTTTTTCCAGAAGCAGGGGTAGGTGGATCTCTATGAATTTGGTCTACAAACAATTACAGACCAGCCAGGGCTACATATGCCTATCTCCAAAAAAAGAGCTAATATAGAAACTGCCATAATGCCCTGTAGAAGATACACTAGTGTATACTCCTGTTAGTAGTGTCATCAGTTTTTCTCTGCCCTAGCTAGCATAGGCATATCCTATTAAATAATTATTATATATGTGTATATATTACATATTATCTTTATGTATAATTGCTGAAGCATTTCATATATATGTGTATATGTATTTGTTATATCTATAATCACTGTAGCAGTTTTGCGCTGATTTCTTTTGCTTCATTTGATAACTCAAAAGTTTATGTATCTCTTCATAATAGTCATTTTATGGGTTTTTGTTTTTTAAATAGAAGAAAGTAGGTTGGTGTCTAGGTACTACCCACCTCTGTTCTTTTGGAATTATCTGTCTTGTCCTTGGTTTAGTTGTTATTTGGGATGCGAGCCATTAGTTAATGGTAATCTTTTTAATTGTCATAAAGTCCTGACTTTTTGGTTTTTCGAGACAGGGTTTCTGTATGTAGCCTTTAGAGAACTCAGTCTGTAGACTAGGCTTTGAACCCAGAGATCCACCTGCTTCTCCTTTCCAAGTGCTAGGATCAAAGGCATGCGCCACCACTGTCCAGCCATGTCCTGACTTTTAAACAAGATTTTATTAATTTAAATTTTGTGTGTGTGTGTATGTCTGTATGAGAGGTGTGCATGTGAGTTCACGTACCTGTGGAGTCAGAAGAGGTCATCATGGCCCCTGTGGCTGGAATTATATCTCTCTGACATGGGAACCAAATTTGAGTCCTCTGGAAGAGCAGTATGTGCTGTCAACCACTGATCCACCTCTTGTCTTATGCCCATTTATTTTATTTGCCTTTTCATTTTGTTTTTGGAGCAATTTAATGTATGCTTGCCTTGTTCAATGTTTTGGTGTGTTTTCCATATGCATCAAAAGATTTTTTTCTTTCCCAAGATATTACCTGTATTTTCTTCTCATTCTTTTATTTACACGGCTATTTAGTTATTTATTTGGGGGTGGTACATATGCCAAAGTAAAGGTTTGATGACTGTGGGAATCGGTTCTCTTTTTCTACCAAATGCATGTGGTTATTGAACTTGTGTCACATCATCAGGTTTGGAGCAAGTGTAACTGAGCCATCTTGCCAGCCCTTTTAGTTCCATTGGAAACCTCGTGTATGCCTTAACTATTACTTCCCAATTTGATTTAAAGTGGGTATAGCTTGAATTTAGTAGAAATTCAACTGCTATTTCTTTCACAGCAAAAATTTGTGGAGAAGATGGCCAGGTGGATCCCAACTGTTTCGTTCTGGCACAGGCTGTAGTCTTTAGTGCAATGGAGCAAGAGTAAGTCCATATTCTCACGTTAGCATTCCTGGGGATTCTGGCTCCTGGTTGGAAAATAGACTTCGCTCAACTAACACTGCACTTCTGAAGATTTAAGTCACTGGATAAAGTCATTTGGGGTGATTGAGACTGTAGTATATGATGAAGAATTTGTTAATTTAGTAATGCATGTCTTCAGACAGGCATCTCATTTGTTTTTTGCCTTCAGGTTATGCTCTATAACTAAATAATAATAACGTACTGTCTCCAGACTTCAGATCATTGTTGTGTGCCTTTAGAAAGCTATGTATTCATTCTTTCGCTCAGTATTTATTACGTGTTTTATACAGGGCCACAGATACTTATGGTATCTGCCTTGAAGGAAGTCACAGCTTAATAAAAGAAACAGGCCGTGTCCTTTGGTTACTGTAATATGAGGTAGCATTTGGCAACTATCAGGAGAAAGCCACAGACTCATTGAGCTGAAAAGAATCAGGAACAACACCTTGGGAAATAAGGTAGCCTTAAGCTAGGCCTTTAAGATTTTGTGGGAATAAAGCCAGGCTGTGGTGGTGCATGCACGCCTTAAATCCCAGCACTGGGGAGGCAGAGGCCAGTGTGATCTACAGTGGAAGTGCCAGGGCAGCCAGGGCTACACAGGGAAACCTGTCTCAAAAAACCATTAAAAAAACAAGAAAGATTTACTAGGAATAGTTTTGGAAAGAGTATTTTTTTTTTCTCCAGTTGTGCTCTTTCCTTGGTCTTTTCCTCAAATATTTTCTTTTTGTCCACATGCAGGCACTTTAGTGAGTTTCTGCGAAGTCACCATTTCTGTAAATACCAGATTGAAGTGCTGACCAGTGGGACTGTTTACCTGGCTGACATTCTCTTCTGTGAGTCAGCCCTCTTTTATTTCTCAGAGGTAAATTTTGCATTTTCTTTTATATTCTGCTAGAGCACTCCTGGGGCTCTGTCTAAACAAAATGACGTAGAAGAGATGACATTTCCAAAACAATTGTTTTAGTTTGTACTTAATGGCAAGGGTACTTTAAATTAATGGCATATTTATCAGATTAAAGAAAAAGCTCAGTGTAAAATAGCCCTAATTTCAAAAAAAGCACTTTAGTTATGCTAAAAGAAAATACATTATAAAAAAATATTTTGAACTGTTTTATATTTTAAAGCCGTAGAATTGGAGGCTGGAAATATCTCAGCTGGCAGTGTTCGCCTAATATGCACAAAGCTCCGGGTTCAGTCCCTAGCACTTCATGAAACTGAGCTTGGTGGTGCAAACCTGTAATTCCAGCACTCTTGTCATTCATTCTTTGCTATATAATGACTTTGAGGACAACCTGGGCTAGTCAAGGCCCTTCCTCAGAAATAAATAAATTGGAGCTTGGGAGATAGCTCAGTAAATAAAATGCTTGCTGCTGTTATGCCCAGTTCTCAAACCCCAAAAGACCAGGAATGAATAGACTCTGCTGTAAATACATGAGGCTTTTTTTATTACAAGTTACAAGCTGCAGCTTGGGCTCACACCCCCCATGGATGAAGCAATGAAAGCCTGAGAGCCTAGAGCCCCGTGCTCAGGTTAGTTGGGTGATTTAAAGATTCTGGTTCTTCCTAGCATGCCCAAAGCAGGGGTGATTCCTGCCTGGCAAGCATCTATTGGTTGAAATGCAAAGGGGATGTTACATTTTGAATTGATTGGCTATAGGAAAGTCCCCAAACCATTAATGATCTGGTGTCCCTCCCTAGGGGGATGGGCCAGTTCCCTAGCAACTGTGTCTCTAGTGGGTGGGGAAAGAATGCAATAAGGCCAGATCTTCCCCTTAGGGCATTGCTGGACTTCTCCACCCACCCAGCCAGCCTTAGTTCAGGCCTTAAACTTCAAAATCATAGCCACCGAGTTTTAATTTTTTGGTCTCTCACTGCACAAGCATGAGGATGTGAGTTTAGATCCAGAGAACCCGTGTGAAAAGCTGAGCATGGCAGCATACTTTGGCATGCTCAACATTGGGAAGTGGAGACAGGGGACTCCACGGAGCCTTGGCTCTTTGGTCTGTCAGTTGTTGAGCTTGCATTGCACTCAGTGAGAGAACCATGTCTCACAGAGTAAGGTAGTGGGCAATAAAGGAACATATCTGATGTCAGTCTCTGAGCTTTCATATGCTCTCACGTGAACCCAGGTACCCTCACATACACATGTATACATACTAAATAAAAGGGAATAAAGAAAGCCATAGAGCTGACTAGTTCGTTCCATTGCTGTAATTGCAGGCCAGATTTCAGTAGAAAAAAAGAAAAGTAAAATTTTCTTTCCTATGTTCACCATTTTTATTTTAGCTACTTGATAGAATTTTTCAGTATAATATTTGAAGCAAACTATAAATATGTTAATCTCTTTGAGATATATGTGGTATTTTTTATTCATTTTATTGAAGTCTTTAAAAAGTTTTCATTAGCATATAATCATAGATAATAATGAGCTTCATTATGGCATTCGTAGATGTTATATATTTTAATTATATTCACACAAATACCTTGTCATCAATCCCCCCAATTCCCTTCCTTTTCCCAAATGCCCCCACAAGTTGTTTCTTTCTCTTTTGTGTATGAGTGTGTACTTGTCCCCAGTGAGTTTCATTAGGGTTTTTTACAGAAGCATGGACACCTTACCATTGACTTCACCACTGAAGAAAATGTGTCTCCCTCCGCTATTCATCACTAACATTGTGTAAATCTTTGGGGGATCTTTATGGCCCGGTGAGCCCTTTTTTCTACAACAAGGTTGTTGAAAGGGCCAGTCTGTAGAGACTTTGTAAATAATCACAGCAGCTGTGAGTTCAATAGGGAAACAGCCACGTTGTACCTGGAATTCAGTGTTCCATGATCACTCATCCTTCCTCCAGCTATAAAAGTCTTTCTGACTCTTCCTCCATGATATTCCTTGAGCCTTGGAGGAGTGATGCAGAGGGCCCATTTATAAATTTTTAGCATATTCAACAGTTATTTATGGGGTGTGTGTAATCACCATTGAGCATTGGAAAAAGAAGCTTTTCAGCCAGGCATGGTGTTTCATGCCTTTAATCCCGGCCCTGGAAAGGCAGAGGCAGGAGGATCTTTTTGAGTTCCAGGCCAGCCAAAGCTACAGAGTGAGAACCTGCTTTAAAACAACTCTCATCGAAACTAACAAAAGCTCTGTTCTGTGTGTATGAATATGTTACTTAGAAGGCAGCTTGACAGGTACATCGTATTTGTTCAGCAAAACAATAGCAATAAACCCACTAGGGTTTATGACCTTCTTAGCCATGAACTTTTGACTGGGTTTTAAGTACCAAATGTGGATTTCTTTCCTTGAAGTGTGTTTCCAATACCATCAGAAAAAAGCTGACTTGCTGCATAACAGACATTATTGTACCGGTGGGCACATTCTGCCTGGCTGGTCAGGAGTGTTATGGACAGAGTTGATAGTCAAGTAAGACTGTAACACTTCCCTCCCAGCACATTGCATAGAAGGGCTCGCCAGTAGGGAAGACGCTTCCATTCCACTTGAGCTTGATCTCTCTATACCATGTGACCAGAGGGACTCCTTCCGCAGTGCAGTCTTCCCATCTGGTTCTGGTGGGCAAACGGCTGCAGTTGTTGTTTTGAGGGCCTCGGGGCCTCTCTGCTCAACAGCGTATAGATACTGCGTATAGGTACTGTGGCACCTAGATTTGGTTTAATAACCTATTCCTTCTGGGAGCAGCATCATCCCTCCACAGCAGGTGAGGCATACAGCTTTATAGAACTGCTTATTAGGCTTTAGCAAATGAAATTTTTCGTGTTGTAAAACTAAAAATGACCATTGCCAGGTAGTGGTGCCGCACACCTTTGATCTCAGCACTCAAAAGGCAGATCTCTGTGTTCAAGGCAAGCCCGGTCTACAGAGAGAGTTCCAGGACAGTCAGGGCTACACAGAGAAACCCTATCTCGAAAAAACCAAAATAAACGACAAAAACAAATGACTATTATAAAGATTGCTATGGTGGGTTCTAGTTTAACCATCTCCAGAATCACTTGGCAAAACAGATGCTTGAATTGTGCCTTTTTGCAAAAGTGATAAACACGTAGTAGAGTTGCTTTTCATTTTTTCTTCTTTTGACAATGGTTGAAAACAGTATTTGTTCAGCTTTTCCTCATGGAGTATCCACGTATCCCTATGGAATGGTAGTTGTGACTAGGTGTGAAAGAATTAATTCAGTTAGTTCGCTGTCATTATTGGTGAGGCAGTATGAGTCCAGATTTGTCTAATTTTTATTCCAGTGCACTGAAATTTGCATCTCCATGTACACAGTGTGGGTTTTGTTGTCCTTGTTAACTTTATTCCTGTCTCCCCTTAAAGAATATTTAAAACTTGTCTACCTCAAGTTTGTATGTGTTGCTGAAGGGTGTGGAGTAAAGGGATCCTTTTTACTTAAGTGCTAACAACGTGAATTATACGTGGTGAGAGAGCTGCTTCTTGTCTCACTCTTCTGTGTTTTTCTTCCTAGTACATGGAAAAAGAAGATGCAGTGAATATCTTACAGTTCTGGTTAGCAGCGGATAATTTCCAGTCTCAGCTTGCTGCCAAAAAGGGCCAGTATGATGGACAGGAGGCACAGAATGATGCCATGATTTTATATGACAAGTGAGTTTGCTGGGTCACTATGTCAGCAGGTGTTTTGAGCATTCACTATACACAGTGATAATAACATTGAACAAAGTCCATTTCTACTGTCAAATGAGCCCACAGGACATAAAAGCTGCTTTGCATGTGGGAGATGCAGAGCTCTCCAGTGAGAGAACAGAAGTCCCTGTTGGGGAAATTGAGGGTTTTTATATAGCAAGCAAGACCAGAGTGGTGCTCAGAAGGGCTTCGCAGACAGAAACTTTTTTTGGCTCCTTAAGAGTAAATTGAAGCTTAGGGCCGTGTCTCTGTGTTTGAGTAAGAAGCCCTCTCTTGGGGCTGGATGGCTTAGCTGCTAAGAGCACTGCTGCTCTTCAAGAAGACTGGGGTTCCATGTCCAGCATCCACATGGCAGCTCAGAAGCACTTGTAACTTCATTACAGGAGACTCAGTGTCATCTTCTGGCCTCTTCAGGTACCAAGCTTGCATGTGATGCATAGACATCCATGCAGGCAAGGTGCCCATACACATAAAATAATAATAAAATGCTTAGAATGTCATCTCAAAATAAAAACCAAAAACGAAACAGAAACCCTACCTCAAGAAGAAAGTAGGTGAGCCGTTAGGGAGACTCCCAGCATTGACCTGTGGCCTCTCCCGTGTGCATGCGCGCACTTGCTCACTTGTACGTGTACTCACGTGATCATCCACACGTCCACATATGAAAAGAGGAAGAGAGGAAGATGAATTGAATTTTTCCAGGCAACAAAAGCTTGAAATCAAACATTGTACAACAGCCTTGACACAGTTTTAAAAAGTGGAGAAAGGTGGCATTAAGGGAGCCTGCGATCAAATAGCGTGTAGAGCCCAGCGGAAGAGCCTGTGCTTAGGAGCCAGGACCTAAGGAAAAGCGAAGTGAACTTGGGTTTGAATAATAGAAATGGTATTTGGAGAACATAATTGAAAGTCCACTAAGCTTATTGGAACATATTGGAAAGAGTAGAGATGTATTATACTTTCAGTCTGCGTCGATAATAAACACTAGTTTGTTGTTGTTGTTTTGTTTTGTTTTGTTTTCAGTTTTGTTTTTGTTTTTGTCTTTGGTGCTGAGAATCGAATCCATGGCCTTGTACATGCCCTCTGCTTCTGGGCTACCCCAGCCAATTTCTTATTAGTTTTTTACAATGACAAAAAGTTAGGAAAAAATCTTACTGTAAATAGAACTAAAAGCATCTACTAAGGTAAGTGAGAAGACTGGCCAGCGCTGTCACAGGTATTGTTGCCTGGCAAAATTCAGTTCATTCTTTACATTTGTCTTTGATTTTTTTGTGAGGAAATTTGTTGTTTGTATCCATAGACAAATGTAAAGGTGTGACTTGGGGATTAAAAGAACTTCACAGACTGGAGAGATGACTCAGTAGCTAAGGGTACTTGTTCTTCAGAGGACTCAGTTTTTGTTCCCAATCAGGCAGCTTATACGTGTGTTTCCATCTCTAGGGGATGTGACAGCCTCTTCTGGCTCAAGGGGCACCTATGCATACAGTTAGCACATTCACATAGACAACACACACACACACACACAATCAGATAATAAAAGCAAGACTTCTGTGTGCTGTTAGAATAAGGACAGGAATATCTAGACCAGTGGATGCTAAACACAGGACTACAGATTCATGTTAAGCTGTCTGTGTGATATTCAGCTGGGAGGAATGTCTCAATGGTTAGAGCATTCGTTGGGTTTCCCAAGTTGTATTCCCAGCACCCACATTTTGGTTCACACTATCTATAATACCAGCTCCAGGGGATACAAGGGCTAGGCACGCATGTAATACACAGATATATTTGCAGACAAAACACCCAAACACCTAAGTAAGTTGAATCTTTAAAAAAAAAAAAAAAAATTCCACTAGGGTCTTGTTACAAACTCACTTGCAGTTCTGTGTGTTAGATTCTGATTCAGCAGGTTTGAGGGGGAGACTCAGGAATTCTTTTTTTTTTTTTAAATGTTTTAGATAATTCTGATAGATAATCAGATTAGGAATCTAGTCTGAATTTTCTGTTTTGAAGTTAAGAAACTTAAGTTCATGGAGCACATTTTTTCTCAAAGTCATAGGGCAAGGTGGTGGTAGAAGAGATCTAATTCTTCTGGTTAGCCCAGTGCTCACTGCTGTGGTGGGTTAGTGGGAGGTTTTAGGGGAGGACAGTGATGGCTGTTGAAATGGGAAGAAAGTGAATTTGAAGTTTGTCAGGGGTGCCTGGAAGTTGAACTCATGGAAGAGTACGTGTCAGCTCATTGCTCTCGGCACAGGAAAGGTGCTTTTTGCTGAGAGAACAGTTTCTGAATGCTGGAGCCGCATTCATTGTAGGCTGGGCACAGTAACTGCACAGGGCAGCCCATTTTCATCTTGGGAGTCATTCTCCAAACATCCTGTTGGTGCTGCTGTTTTGTTAAGGTTGTCAGGCTGGACTTTCTAGTGTTCTGCTTGTTCCTTCCTGGTTCCTTTGTACATCCTCACCCCTTTCGTGTTTCTGTCATAGATGGAGACAGCCGCTGCTAGAATGTGGACGTTTTCTTTTCCCCGCTTGTACTGCTTTTGTATATCTATCATCAGAGGACTGAACACGAGTTGCACTGTCCCACTGTGTTCAGACTCTTTTGGGTTCTCAGTAACTACTTTTTCCTCTCTGCTCTAAATCGTCAGCGGGTCCTTTTGAGTTTACTCCAGTTAAAGTCATCTGCGTCACCTGTAGTCCTGTTCGTTTTGGATTCTCAGGTGCTTATTACTCTACTTCGTGGGATGGTGGTACACTCTCACTATTATCTTGTGCACAGATCTTTGGTGATCTTTTTCAGGGAAAATGACCGGGTCTTAGGAAAAAATTCTTAAAAACTTTTTTTTAGGCTCTAGACAGAAAACAGGTACCCACTAAGTACATGTAGCTGGTTGATTTCTTTGCCTCTATGTAACCTGACTCACAATGCAAATAGCAGCAGCTGGCTGGGTAGCAACTAAAGGTGTTTGGAAGACAGGTGAGAAGTTTCAGGCTTCCTTCCTAGAGGAAGTGAGACTCGGTCAGCGGCTACACAATAGCAGTTTTCCTACCTAGTTCTGTAGTTGAAGGTCTGATATAGAGTGTAAATACGGACAGCTGTTTAGGCTTGTGTGTAATTTTGTTTTACTATGACTCTCTTTCTGCCGTAGGTACTTTTCCCTCCAAGCCACACACCCCCTTGGATTTGATGATGTTGTGCGATTAGAGATTGAATCCAATATCTGCAGGGAAGGTGGGCCACTTCCTAACTGTTTCACAACTCCGTTACGTCAGGCTTGGACAACCATGGAGAAGGTAACCAAGATCTCCACATACTAAACTATGAAAAGTTTCACTTGTGGAACTCCGAAAACAGACTGTGACAAAGCAGTGGGAAGTTGAAGCTGCCCAGCAGAGCAGAGACTTTGAATCTCGACATGGTGTGCATCAGCCCCCTTTGTAGGCTGTGGCCAGACCCTTACTGGACTTCATTCATCTAATATCAGAGTTACACAGGATTAAAATGAAGTAATGATGTAATGATTATTAATGACCATCACATTAAAAATATTAACTGTTCTCAGTATCCGAGTGGGTTCCCTAGTATGGGGAACAAGGATTATTTCTGACATGAACTCAGTGACTGGCTCATTGATCTCCCCTTCCCCGATAGGGAGGAGCAGCCTTGCTAGGCCACAGATAAGGACATTGCGACCAGTCCTGAAGATACCTGTTAGGCTAGGGTCGGACTGAAAGGGAGGAGGACCTCCCCTCTCAGTGGACTTGGAATAGGGCAGGGAGGGTGGGATTGGGAGGGAAAGAAGAAGGGGACTACGGGTGGGATACAAGTGAATGACCTGTGATTAAAATTAAAAAATATGTACATCAAAAAAAGTATTAACTGTTACTATATATCAGTATGAGATAAATTAATTTCTAAGTATTTGGCAAATACCTACTGATCATCAAAATTGAAACACTAATTTTATGTATTCTTATCACTTTTTGTGATATCACTAATGACTTAATAATAATGTTACTAATTATGAATAATTTATTCTAATGAATTAGAACAGAATTGTCAGGAGTTTTACTAAAGTCCAGGGCAAACTCATGAGTTTATGTCATGCATATCCAGGTGAAAAGAGATTGATTAAGCGCTATTATAAAGTGCCATACCTTAAAAAACAAAAACGAACAAAAAAAAAAAAAAAAAACAAAAAAACTGAACTTAGATGAGGGGAGGTATCTCAGTCAAACTTGAGTTAGGATCCTCAGTAATTTCTTTTCTTTTTTTCTTTCTTTCTCTTTTTGTTTGTGTGTTTGAGATTTTTTTATTTTATTTTATTTATTTTATTTTTGAGACAGGGTTTCTCTGTGTAGCCCTGGCTGTCTTAGAAGGCACTCTGTAGACCAGGCTGGCCTTGAACTCTTAAGAGATTCACCTGTTTCTGCCTCCCAGAGTCCTGGGATTAAAGGCATTTGCCACCGCTGCCTGGCTGGCCTTCAATAATTTGAGAAACCAGGTATGGACAGGTAGCTTCTGTAATCCTAGCACTGTGGACCTAGAAACAGAAGCATCCAGCACATTGGTCCTCCTTAACAAATAAGGTGGAGAGGTGACTGAGGAAGACACCCAAAATATGTCTCTGAGTTCTACATGCATACACATACGCACAAGAAGAAACTAAATTTAAAAGAGAGTATAAAAGACAGGTTATTAAAAAGCTAGAGATAATGTAATAAAGGATCAGTAACAACCCAAGCTAGTAACTCTTTCATGATTAAAAAAAAAAATCTCTGATTTTAAAGGGAAGTCCAAGTCTTGAGAAATATAAAAAAATATAAACTTTTAATGAGAAAAACAAGATATAGTTGGGTATGGTGACACACAGCCTGCAATCTCAGGTAGGTGGAAAGATTAAATGTTTAAGGCTAGGGGATACTATGAGACCTGAGTTTGATTCCTGGTACTCAAAACTGTCTGAGTGGGACACATTTGTATTACCCATGCGCTCAGGAGGCAGAGACATACCCCTGTGGCTCACCAGCCAGGCAGTAGAGATTAATTGGTGATCCAGACCAGTGAGAGACCAGGTTCCTGAAGGTTATATTCAGTGTGCACTAGCATAGTAAACACAAACGGAAGGGCTGGCAGAGTTCACAGGTCAATTCCCAGAGCACGTGGTGGAAGCAGAGAATTGACCCTTGAAAGTTGTCCTCTTACATGGTGACTTGGCCCGTGGACACCTACTTACACATATAGGCATGCATGTGCGCAGCAATAGATATAATTAAATTGGAAAAGGAGAAGAGTTAAAATTCAAGGCCAGCTTGGGCAACTGAGGGGAGATTCTGTCTCAGAAAAGAAAAATGGGCTGTGGCTATCATGTTGGCGACCCTGGATTCTGGGGAAGGAGGACAAAATAGTTCTTGTTTTTCTGGAAGGATAGGGGAACCATCTAACTGTGGTGGTTTCTCTTAGTTTCGCTCTTAACCCGGCTATCATATAAATAATTGAAACTTTATATTTATTTAATAATAAGCTTCACAATACAATAATTGAGCAAATACTACTCTATTCTAAACCTTCTAAGCTAATTTGCTTTCCTCCCAGTGTACATCCCAGAAAACTTGCACTTTGTAGCTTTCTTGCTTCAGCTTCTCTCTCCTGAGGGTTAAGTGGACCTCTCCCAGGATTGAATCCCCTGGCTGAATCCCCTACTTCCTCTTCCAACTCTTCTTCTAGCTGGCAGGAAGTCTCCCCTGCTAAGTGATTGGCTTTATTGATATATCAGGGGACCATTGGGGAACAGGGTTTATACATTAAGACAGGAGATTCTCAGAACTAGGCTTGCAAACATAATGTGGGATCAGCATCGGAATTGCACAATAATCTTAGTCTACATAGACACGAGCCACCATACCTACCTACCCTGCAGCAACAGGGTTACTGTAGTTATCAGTAGCAGACCCTAGCAGGTGGATGAGCAAAGGATCTGAAGTGAAGCCTTCAACAAATATTTTTGAGTATTTCTATACTAGTTAAACACATGGAGCTTTTAACCTTTGGAACTTAGGTCTACGAGAAGACATTTTAGTTATAGACAGGCATATCAAGCCAGGCATGTTAGCACACCCCTGTCATCCCAGTGCTCAGGGAGGCAGAGGCAGGTGGATCTCTGTGAGTTTGAGATCAGCCTGGTCTGCAAAGTGAGTCCAGGACATCCAAGGCTACACAGAGAAACCCTGTCTCAACAAAACAAGACAGGCATATCAGTTATATTAAGTGCTGTGAAGGAAGTCTGTAATGGAAAGTGAAAACGATAAACATGAGGACTTACTTAGCATCATTAATAATTCTTAAGTGACCATAAAAACATGCTGCCATTAGTTATTTGGAAACAGGTAAGAAAATGAGCATCAGAAAGCTTGTGTGGGTACAGATAATTACTGCCAGTGATATAAATTGATACCATCCCTTTGGTAGGTTCGTTCGCCATGTATTTGAAGGTTGAAATTCAACTTAGCAATCAATCATCTTTCATCTCTGTGTGTGGGTCTGTATACCTGGGTGAAGGTACCCAAGGAGGTCAGAGGTATCTCTCTGGAGCTGGAGCTACAGGTGGTTAGGGGCCATTTGATGTGGGTTCTGGGAACAAAATTCGGGTCATTTTCAAAATCAGTTCAAACTTTTAACCACTGAGCCATCTCTCCAGCCCACACTTCTTGTCAATTCAGAACTAAAATCACTGTGTGGTAAAGACTAGATTATGTTTTCTCACTGTGAAATGTTTAATGGCAGTGAAAACTGTACAAAAGGATAGTAGTATAAGAGGGAGAAGTACCAATATTGCTGTTAATGATAGTCTTGTAGGTAGAGCTACCTAAAGTCAAGTACTAGGTGCATTTGATTTTCACCTCTAAAATGTTGTTCTTCTTTCAGGTCTTTTTGCCTGGTTTTCTGTCCAGCAATCTTTATTATAAATATTTGAATGACCTCATCCATTCAGTTCGGGGAGATGAATTTCTTGGAGGGAATGTTGCACTGGCTGCTCACGGCTCTGCCTGCCTTCCTGAGGAGTCTCACTCAGGTGGTTCCGATGGCGCTGCTGCTCAGGTACTAGCTGGTGGCAGTCTGCATCAGTGGGGAGGGAGGCACAGAGAGCCTTTCCTTCACGTGCTAGCAGCAGATCGTAGTCAGGGGTTTTAAGTAGTAGATACGAAATAATAAACTCTGCTTGCTTATGATTCTAGTCAGGCTGCCAGTGGTTAAGCTCACACTGTACCATAAAGTATCACGCTCTCTCATTAAAGCTGTGCATCTGCTCGACAGCATGGCTTTTTGTTTTAGTGGCCACGTATGTGTGTGTGCATGTGCAAGAGTGGGCAGAGGCCAGAGGCTGTTACTCCCAGAAGTCATTCACCTTAGTGTTGGTGATAGGGTCTCTCCCTGGCCCTGGACTTGCTGTCAGGATAGGCTGGCTGGCCAGCAGTGCCCAGGAATCGTCCAGTCTCCACCTCCCCAGATGCCATGACCTGCATGTCTTTTGGATTGACCTGACTGTGTTGACAGTGACATATACAGAAAAACCTGGACTGGGTGGGCTGTGCACTCCAATGGAGATGCATTAGCAGCCCAGAAATTCAGCGTGTTTGTTATATACAGCTGAAGAAGGAGGTGGGTTTATCATATACATGGAAGAAGCAGCTATGGCTGTTGTCTCTGCATACACCTGTCAACATCCGTGCTTGACCAAGGGAAGGCACTACCCTTCTCATGGTTCTGAGGCGCCAGGCTCCTTGATGTATGTGGTCATGTTCATGTTTACAGTATGCATTCCCCCAGGTGGTAACTCAGGACTTCATCTGGGATGGTAACACTCCACCATGCCCAGGTTGTGTGAGTCCTGGGGGTGGATCTGACATTTTTCTTTCTTTTTTTTTTTTTCTTTCTTCCTTTGGTTTTTGAGACAATGTTTCTCTTTGTAGCCTTGGTTATTCTGAACTGGCCTCAAACGCAAAGAGATCTGCCTGCCTCTTCCTTCCTGAGTGCTGGTTTTTATAGCAAGCGCTTTAATCTCTCCTCAGTCCAGTAATCAACCTCTCAGGAGCTCTTTTTACAACTTGAGAAATTTCAATAATGTAGCAAACATTTTTTTATTAATTAATCTATTTACATCTCCATCATAGGTCCCTCCCTCCTCTCTTCCCAGCCCCACCCTTCCTTTCTTCAGAATAGGGAAGCCCTCCTATCCAGACACCCCAGCTCATCTTCCTGGGGAAGATAAGGACTGAGTTCGTCTTCCTCCCCTGTGGCCTGGTAGCACAGTCCCATCGGGGGAAGTGATGAAAAAGCATTTTATTACTAGCGAACTCAAATTGTTTTCATTTCTTTTGTGCATGAGTGCCGGCACACACACGTCACAGTATGAGTGTGGAAGCCAGAGGCTAACTCGAATTAGTCAGTTCCCGCCTTCCACTCTGGGTTCCAGTGTGGGTCATAGCCTCCATAGGTGACCGCTTTTACCTCATCAGCTGTCTCAGTGTTTGTTTTTCTCACTGCTTTTAGGTTTGTTTCAAACTAGAATGCTGTGTTATGACTTACTCTTTTTGTTTTAATGTTGGATAGCATACCTTACCTGATTCTCCCTAAAATTTATAGGAAGTAGAATATCCCCAAGACAGCAAATCAGAAGGAGGTATTAAGCTAACTGAGGGCCAGAAGATAGTTCAGTCGGAAAAGGCACTTATGCTATGCAAGTTCACGTCACGAAACCCGCAGAAAGGTAGAAGGAAAGAATGTTCTTCCCAGGTTCTCCTCCGGCCTCCAGATGCACACGTGAGACATGGTGCCACCCCACCCCCACCGCATGCAGATATGGACACAGACAGTAATTGTTTAACTGAGCTCTAAAATTTATGTGTTCTGTTGACATTTCAGAGTCCTCTCATTTCTCCCCTCCTTGCAAAGTTGTGTCTTTTAAATTTTGTTTTAGAGACAGGATATTACCATGTAGTCTTGTCTGCCCAGGGCTGTGTAGACCAGGCTGGCCTCAAACTCACAGACCCACTTGACTGCCTCTGAGTGTTAGGATTAAAGGTATGCACCACCATACCCTGCCCCATTCTTTTCTCCTTTTCCATTCCTTCTCAGATAATTAATTAATCTATCAATCTATTTATTTATTTTCTATCAACTGAAGACCAGTTGACAGATATTTTCTTCTTCCCAAGCCCTATTCTCGTGTCCTTTTGTTGGTTGCTGCATCCACTCTGTTTAATCACAATTGCATACATGAGAATGGATTGGAGGGCTATTTGCTTGAGTGAAGGCAATCTGTCAGTGGTTTCCACTGAGAAATAGGACTCCGCGTCTTCCTTCAACCTGCCTGTAACTCGTTTTTGAGGCCCCTTCTCCATCGGCAGTGGCCTGGTGATGGGTCAGGCCCTGCACATAGCCACCGCAGCTGTGGGCTCGGGAGTGCCGCACCCTGGCCATGGGAGGAAGACAACATTTACAGCTTTCTCCCTCATCCTTTAGCTCTTCCATTCTTTTTGTGCCTCTTCTGCAAGCTTTCCTGAGTCATGGAGGGATGATACAGATGTCACATTTGGGCCTGAACCCTCGATGGTCACTTGTTTTCAGGAGGTAGAGCCCTCCCTCGCCGCTCTGTACGTTGAGTTAACTGATTTTAACAAAGGCACACAGCAAGTGTAGAGCCAGTGGTCCCTATCTTAATGACAAAAGCTTATGATTTTCCCATAGTTTTCACTTTGCTATTAAGTAACTTCATACTGAGCCTTGGATAAGTTTCCTTATTTTATAAAGTATAATTTTATTTCTGTAGACATTGTGAATAACCCCCTCTCCCTCTATAAATTTCATATAGCAATCATAGTGCTAACCTGTACCTCCAATGAGGACAGCAGCTATGCTGACAGGGAGGAGGCTAGTGATGAACTTGGCTCAAGGGAGTTGCATTAGAGCTGAACTACCAGATTTGAGTGTTGTGGAGATGCCTCAGTGGTTAAGAACACTCCCTCGTGCGTGGAGGGGACCAGAGTTGATTCCCAGCACATATCAGACAGCTTAACACTGGCTGTAACTCCAGCTCTTGAGGATCTGGTGTCTTCTTCTGGTCTCTGGGTACCCTTACATACCTACACATAAATAAATAAAATAAATCCTTAAGGGAAAATAAAGAAGGGCATGGTGGCATATTCCTTTAATCCCAGCATCCAGGAGGCAGAGGCAGGCGATTTCTGTGAGTTCCAGGACAGCTTGGTCTACATAGTGAGATCCTGTCTTTTTTTTTTTTTTTTAGATTTTTAGTTTTTTGAGACAGGGTTTCTCTGTGTAACAGCTTTGGTTGTTTTGAAACTTGCTTTGTAGACCAGGCTGGCCTCAAACTCACAGAGATCCGCCTGCCTCTGCCTACCAAGTGCTGGGATTAAAGGCAAGTACCCCACTCAGCATGAGGTCCTGTCTTAAACAAATGGGCTGGAGAGATGGCTTTGTGGCTGCTCTTCCCGGAGTTCAGTTCCCAGCACCTGCATTGTGGCACACAATAGTGTGTAGCTCCAGTTCCAGGGCATCCAGCACCCTCTCCTGGCCTATCAGGATGCTAGGTAGCATGTGTACAGATATACATGCAGGCAGATACTGATGTGATTGATAGGTTTTTGACCCATTTTAGATGGTTTTGTATATGGTGTAAGATAAATGGTTAACTTTTTCTTTTACCTTATAGAAATAAAAATAATAAATTATATAATTTATGTAATAATAAATAATTATAATGAATATTATTGTTTATTATTATTATTTGACAAATTCTTGCTATGTAGCTCTGGCTAGCATTAGAACTTGCTATGCAGACCAAGCTGGTCTTGAACTCAGAGACCTAACTGCTCTTCACCATCATGTCCAGTACTTAACCGTATTCTCTTTCCACTAGATATCCAGGTGTCTCAGCAACATTTCCCCAAAACAAAAACTTCCTGTTCTTTTGCCACTGTATTGTCTTAATTAACACCCTTGTCAAAACCAGTTGACCAGGCTAGAGGGGTGACTCAGTGGTTAGGAGCACTGGCTGCTATTCCAAAGCACCAGGGTTCAGTTCTTAGCACCCACATGGTGGCTCAACAGCCACGTGTAACTCTAGTTCCAGGGCGTCCTAAGCCCTCTTCTGATTACCTCTTGCGCTGCATGCATGTGGTGCGTATATACAGGCGAAACAGCCATACCCATAAAACAAAAAGAAGTTAGGTTGATCCACAGTCAGGAAGACACTGCGTGCTTAAGCTCACCTCATTTTCTTCTTTTTTCTTTGTCCAGGACTCCATTCCACTGGAATGGGGCTGCCCATGGCAGGGTGTCTTTTCACCTTATTTAACCTAACCTAGATAATCCCTCCCAGGTTTGCTAGGAGCTTGTTGGTTGGTTTGGAGGTAGTTCTAGATCTTGGCAAGTTTTAGCATCACTGACTGACGACAGTGACTTAATTGTGATACTGTCCCTCTAATATACGCTACTGTTCCTTTCTTAGTTAATTACATATTTTGAGGTTGCTCAGTATATTGCCTGTTCAGTTATTTTATTTAATCTAGACATGAAGCTTATTCTTCCCATTTGGTATTTTAAACAATTCTTCAGTGACTGGTATTAAATATAAGTCATTTTGAATGTGAGCCTATCCATAACAGCATTTCTAAGGTTTGAATTTCTGAGTCATCTCAGTAGCTCTGTAATTCAGAAAATGCTGACCTGCTTTGGCTTTTTTTTTTTTTTTTTTTTTTTTTTTTTTTTTTTTTAGAATGGTAAATGGGAACTGACTGTATTTAGTCACTGTAGGTGGGGTTCTTTATCTTTTTTGTCACATAGCCTCACTGAAAATTGAGAACATTCATTTACCCAGTAAAGACTGGGCTTTTTGTTTATTAGGTAACATATAAATTCCTAGTTGGCTGAGTTTTACGTATTGGAAAAATAGTGTCTGAGGGTAAGATATGTATTGCAACATAGGAAGACGGGCTTGGTGTGCAAATGTGTGTTGTATATTTTGGTCTTGGGCTTTCTTCCTTTCGTAGTAGCTGCAAGAGAGTGTTTCAGAATTGTTGCCATTGTGTTCCTCAGTGAAGGAGTTGGGTAATAACAAGCATATTTGAAACAACTTTATACTATCCTCTCATCTTCCAAACTCAGGGCTGGTTGCTTTTTTAATAACATAGTACTAATTTTTATAATTTCTGTTGTAGTCTAGTGTGAAAAAAGCCAGTATTAAAATTTTGAAAAATTTTGATGAAGCAATAATTGTGGATGCTGCAAGTCTGGATCCAGAAACTTTATATCAACGGACATATGCAGGGTAAGCATAACTTATATGTAGCATAACTTATATGTAAGCCAGGCGTTGTGGCCCACCTTTAATCCCAGCTCTTGAGACCAAGACAAATGGATCTTTGTGAATTCTAGGTCAGACAGGGTTACATAGTGAGATCTTGTCTCAAAAACAAAGCCTGGCTCTGAGACTAGCAAGCCTAGAGAACCAGCGTTCATTCAGTTCTAGAACCATGGTGGAAGCATAGTTTTCTCTGACCTCCAAAGCATGCTGTGGCACATGTATAGCTGTGTTCACACACGTAGCAGGTACAAGTATAAGAACAGTAAATTTACATACACAACACACACACAAAATTAAAGGCAGGCTCTGGAAGGCTTCATTCAGTTCTATCTACTTCTTGGCATTCTGCGCAACCTGTTAGTGACTCAGATTTAACACTGCAACTTACTAAGGGCACAAATGAAGTGATACATGAAAAACACTTAAAACAGTGTCTAATGTCTAGGACGTACATGGTACATATCAACATATTCCCACTGCTGTGTTCCAGATTGATGGATGATATCCTGGTCACGCACTGTGGTCTAGGCTGTCTGCTGTACACATATTCCATCCAGTTCACATTTTACCCTTTTTTCTTTTCTTTTTTTTTTTTTTTTTTAATTTGAAAGGGGTTTTCACTGTGTAGTGTTGACTGTCCTAGAATTAAGTACATAGACCAGGCTCACAGATATCTGCCTGCCTCAGCTTCCCAAATGGGATTAGAGATATGTCCCAGCATGTCTGGCCATTTTAGTGTTTTTAAAGTGTTGATCTTAAAAGCAAAAATACACATAAAATAAAAAAGGTGCTGGCATTACTTATGTGATAGAGCTAATACTTAGGAAACTGAGGTATTTCTTTGTGCTTGAGAATGCACTGGTTATTCTTTTGAGTCTAGAATGGTAAGACAATGGAACTTCACTAGACACAAATAAGTGCCTTCTTGCTTAAGGGTGTTTGATTATATAAACTCTTGTAGATTTCTGTTTGTGTGTGATTACCCTGCCTGAAGTGCAACTCAGTGAACACATAAGCCGATGAGAGTTGATTACTTACCCTGTGCATTTGTGAAGGGATTTAATGCTTCTGTCAGAAATTAACAGTGGCATTTGGATGATTGAGAAGACTAGAAAAAACTTTTGAAAATAGAAAGATTAATCACATTGTCTATGAAAGTGCACATTGGCTGTGCCAACTTTGTAGTAATGGGGTGTGTGTGTGTGTGTGTGTGTGTGTGTGTGTGTGTGTGTGTGTGATTATATGATGTGTATATGTGAGCACACATGTCATGGGTGCAGATGTGTGGAGGGCAGAGTAACACTTTGTTGAGTTGGTTCTGTCGTTTCACCATTATCTGGGTTTGAACTCTGGTTTCCAGGCTTGCTCCTAAAAGCACCTTTACCTACTGGGCCATCTCGCCTGTGTAGCTTTTGAGTAATGTTTAATGATCATAGTGGTCTTTTAAAAATGGTAGACAGAAACCAGTTGTGGTGACATTCACCTTTAATCCCGGCACTGAAGGAGAGAGAGGGAGGAAGATCGCTATGAGTTTGAGGCCAGCCTAGTCTACAAAGTGAATCCAGGACAACCAGGACATTTACACAGAAAAACCCTCTCTTGAAAAACCAAAAATAAATAAATAGAATAATAAATAGACCAGATAAGGTAGACAACGTGCTTGCTGTGCAAGTATGTGGACCTGAGTCTGACCTTCATCACCTACATGAGAGGCCAGGCATCATGGGGAGGGTTGCATATTCCAACTGGAAGGGCAGAAGGATCCCTGGGCTCATTGGCTGTCTAGTCTAACTGAATCAACAAGCTCCAGGTTCAGTCAGGTTTAAAGCCTGGCTCAAAAAGTTTGGTAGATGGGCCAGTGATGTGGCTCGTTGAGTAAAAGCCACCTGAGCTCAGTCTCTGAGACCCACAGGCAGAAGAGAACTGACTTCTGTGAGTCATCCTTCCTTTGTTCTATGTGTAGGTGCTTTGGTGTATGAGCTCCCCCTAACTACATGAGTAAATACATTAGATACAAATTTAAAACAATAATAAATACAGTGGAAAATGATTAAAGAAGACACCTGAAATCAGCCTCTGGCCTATGCATGCACACAACACACACACACACACACACACACACACGCACGCACGCACCTACGCACGCACCTGAACGAATACACACCCATACATCCAAAAAGAGAAAAAGAAAATGGTGGACAATGTCCAAATGAACTCCTTCTTGAAGATAAAATTTACTCTTATGGAATTGCTCATTTTCTTAGACCCTAACTTAAGAAAGTCAATTGGTAGTCAAACATAATGGCTCATGCAGGTATCTCTCTATAGCAAGTTCCAAGGCAGCCTGGACCACATAGAGATCCTGTCTCAAAAAAACAAAACAAAACCCCAAAAAACAAACAACTCCCACCTAGTCTCAGTTGCAAAATGTTCCATTTAATTTTTTGCATATAAAAACATATTAAATAATATATAAAATGGATTAGAAAAGAGAAGTCATCATTTTTTCATTGTCACATTTAATGGTTTCATTGTTAGTTTTAGTTTTATTGTTTTAGCACCTGTAAAGTTTTTTCCAAGGCAAATACATTTGTGTCAGTTGGTGTACTGATGTACATACATGCCATATGAGACTCCTAGAAAGAGCATCTCTAAAATAAGATCACTTTTCCAAAGTAAAATACAGAACCAGGAACACAGTCTTCTCTTCTTTTAACTTGTAACTTTGAAAAAATAGTTGTTGTTTGTTTTTTAAATAAAAAATGAGCTTGTTGCAGTAAATGCACATAGGCTTATTGTCTCCTCTAATCATTTACAAGTGATTATTTTCTCCCCTTCCTGTTGAAGGGGAGGTGTTGTTTTCTCCCCTTCACTGTTAAACTGTCACAACATTTTCCGCTGCTTACTAATACATAATTGCTGTTATGCTCTGTTCTGTTTAGTGGTTTCATTCGTGAGTTTGGGGGAAGGTTTTGGTTAGTTGTTTTAGGTTTTTTTGGTTTGGTTTGGTTTGTTTGTTTGTTTGTTTGTTTGTTTGTTTTTTGAGACAGGGCTTCTCTGGTTAGCCTTGGCTGTCCTGGAACTCACTCTGTAGACCAGGCTGGCCTTGAACTTAACATGGATCCATCTGTCTACCTCTGTCTACCTCTGCCTCCGGGGTGCTGGGATTAAAGGTGTGTGCCACCACTACCCCCCCGGCTGGTTGTTGTAGTTAGGTTTTGTCTTGAGTATCGAGGGCTGAGGCCAGGGCCTCCCTCACCTGTGTTAGCACCCACCGTACGTCAGTGCTGTAGTGTCATCCCAGATTGGTCATGTAGAGCAAGTCACACTTTTTTGTTTCTTCTTCTTGGCTAGTCTGTGTGGATTTTATAACTGTGAATCACCAACTGGTACATTTCATAAACCTTTCTGGGATTTTAAAGGGAATTCCATCAAATTATAAATTCTTTTAGTATCATGAAAAGAGGTTCTATTTCAAAAAACCCTCACTTTGAGTAACTTGAATTGTTATGGATTGTGCTTTCTGCTTTTGAGCTTTAGATGAGCTATTCAACATGTTCTGAATTTTAGAAACGATCTTTGTCTTTTTGTCTTGTTTAGGAAGATGTCTTTTGGGAGAGTCAGTGACTTGGGGCAGTTCATCCGAGAGTCTGAGCCTGAACCTGATGTGAAGAAATCAAAAGGTTGTATGTAGCAGCTTTTTATGTTTTCATATTAAGTTTTTGCTTACCTTAGAGACTAACTCTAAGTGAAGGATTACTTAAGGTTTAAAGTGGTTGTAACTACCTGGTTTTTACTGTGTTTATAGATAGATCTTCCTGTGCGGACTTTGTGTACCATACCGCTACAAAATCTCTTCCTTCATTGACCTTGACCTTGTCATTACAGAAAACACAGCAGTAGAAATATTGTTTTCCTTTTCATGTAAAGGTACACAGCCAGTCTAGGATGGCCTTGTGGCTTATCGTGTGACCCTTTAGTTTATTAAATTTCCTCAGTTACTGAAAATTATCATGAAATGTGTATGGAAAATAATAAGTGGAAATCCAAATCCTTTTTCTAACAGAAGAGTGCCTTGGTCAGGTCTTAAGATTTAGACTAAAGATTTTTCTTTTTCTTTTTCTTTTTCTTTTTTTTTTTTTTTTTTTTTTTGTCTGTGTGGTATATGTACTTAGTTCACTCACCCACACAGGCATGGGGGGAAGCCAGAGGTTGATGCAGGAATCTTTTCCTTAATCACTTCTTCACCTTACTGTTTTAAAACAGGGTCTCTAACAAAACCTGAAACTTGGCTTTCAGCTGGGCTGCCTGACTAATCAAGCCCCATCCCAGCCTGTCTCCACCACTGCCTGCCCCAGCAGTGAGGTTACAGATGTACACTGCTACACCCAACCGTCCATGTGGGTTCTGGGAATCTAAACACAGCAGGCTCTTTGCCCACTGAGCCCTCTCTTTAGCTCCTCAAGTTTGACTGTCTACCCCCTCCTGCGTCCCCCTCCCCTTTTATTCTTTTTGAGACAGGGTCTTACTGTATAGCCCTAGCTGGACTGGAATTCACAGATATCTGTCCGCCTCCGCCTCTGCCCTCTTGAATGCTGAGAGCATGTGTGTACCATCACACCTGGTTGTTCCTTTCAAGTCTTTTTCTCGTAAACATGCATTCTTTGTGACTGAATCCAATTCTAAACAGTTGGTTCTCCCGGGAAAATTTTGGAAACAAATGTGGATCCACTCAGGTGACATCTAGAGCTTGTCCCTATGGTTGGATCAACTGTATTGTATTGAGTAAATGGTACTGATGTTGTGAAAAGGAAATGTCCTGCTCTGTTAGGTTTAAAGTAGGAGCTGTTGCGGTCTTTTGGGGTTTAAAAGCACCGCCTTCCTTGGTGCTTTATCTATGTTTAAATGCAATTTTATAGATATATATTTCTCCTTTTAATGTGTGTGTAATGTTGAGTGTGTGAGTGCGTGTCTGTGCCTCCTCTCCACTCTACCATAGGAGCACTAGGATTGCACACACCAGCACACCTGGTTGTCCGATGGTCCTGGGGTTGGATTCAGGCTCTCACACTGCCACAGCCAGTGCTTCATGCTGGGCCGTCTCCCGGTTTCTTAGTACAGTCATATTTAGATAAATATTTTGATGAGTGATTTGCTCTTTTCAGATAATGCACTTTCAAAGAAAAAGTACAAAAGTTATTGAAGCAATAAAGAACAGAGAGGGTCTGCTTTCTAGTTGACTTTATTTATCCATTTATTTCCTGTTTCATCAGAGGTGTCTAAGTTGTTCTGCCAAAAAGAGTATAGAGAATAAAGAAAAATGTCAAACATTTTTTTTCAGTGCTGGGGATCACACCAAGTTCCTGGTACATGCTAAGCAGTGTTCTGTCCCTGAGCTGTGCCCATAGCCCAAAACGTTTTTGAGTTCTCCTTAGTCTCTGCTCATCCTAATTATTCAACCTCTATATCACCCATTCTAAAAGTGATGAAGTGCCTACTGTGCCTGTGGCCTCAGTACATAGGAGAGAACAGGCACTCTGTTTTCTCTAGCTCTGTAACTCATGTGATAGTGGTGGAGACAGTAAACAGATAAACACAGTTTACACATATGCTTAATAATTAGCTATAAGCCACAGCGAAGTACAAGGTAAGGGACTGTCAGAGAAGTGGGAAGCAGTATTTAAAAGGTAATCTGCAGGAAGGTTAGCTTTGGCTTAGGGTGGGCCAAGGTTCCAGGAAGAGAGAGGTTTCGGTCCAGCGTGGGCTCAGATTAAGGAACAAGTAGAGGACTAAATTGGAGCATACCATACCTTATGATCAAGGGACAAAACCAGTGCTGGTATGTGGAGTAGAATGAGCAGAGAATGGCGGATGGTGGTGACGACAGCTGCAAAGATTGGAGGGTGATGGAGACTCGTGGCATGTTGGATTAGAGATGTGACATGACATGACTTTTATATGAAGGAATCGTTCTGGCAGCCATTTGGAAGTAGATCATAGCAGCCTAAGAGAAGAGGTAGAGAAGCATCTTGCCAGTACCTAAGTTATGAGTGGTGGTGCTTATGAGCTAGGTACGAAGTAGGAGAGCAGTTTGATTTGTGTTATATTAGGTCAGGCAACAGGATTCCATTCATTAAGATAATTACGGTTTTTTGTTTAAACTTGAGTTTTATGTTATGTGTGTGAGGGTTTTTTTGTTTTCTTTTGGTTTTTGCCTGCATGTGTGTATGTGCACCATATGCGTGCCTGATGCCCATGGTGGGCAGAAGAGGGTTCAGGTTTTTTGAAATTGGAATTACAAATGATTGTGAACCACCATGTGGTACTGGGAACTGAGCCCAGATCCTCTGCAAGAGCAACAAGTGCTTGTAACCTCTGATCCAACTCTCCACCCTGTTACCTGAATTTTTAATCAAGACAGTATATGAAATAACGACTAGGAATTTATGCACTTTGAGTAAGCACATCTGTATACTCTGCTTCTTCCTTTGGTTGTCAAGATGGCTCTTTAAGCCACATGTTTGTTTGTTTGTTTTGTTTTTGGTGCATAGAGATTGAATGTGTTACACTCAGAAAATACTTCCGTTATCCTAAGTGCTAGGCACTATGCCAAACACCAGATCAGTTTTTCTCAGAGTTAGTTCCTTTATTAGGCCTCTGACTTGTTAAACATATCAGGCTAATTAATGCCTCCTAGATTTTTCTCATTATGTTACTCAGCTTAATCTCCATGGCATTTCTTCTAAACTGGAAAGTACACATTTTGGTAGGGAACATTTGTATGTAGTGTTGCTTAAGGACCGTCCATTGTCAGCGTGGTGGTGCACTCCTTTAATCCCAGCACGTGCACGCTTCACTGCCTCATCGTCCAGCTCTTCCTCCTGGTACCCTGTCACACTGGAAATCAAATCTTTCCTTCCTACTGTAGCCTATAACCATTCTTTTTTTCACAAGCCAAGCTCTAACTGAGTTACCCTTTGCAGTGCTGGAGTTCCTGTCTTCCCAGGGCCTTTTGTGGTTGCCCCTGCTGTGGTTTATGTACAGTGATTGGCTTCTCCTCATCTCAGCATTGTCTCTTCACACAAGCTTTTCCTGCCCACCGGACTACTGTTGTAGTTTCTTCCTCTTGTGTAACTGCAACAGTAGCACTCAAGGGTGTTGTCTTATCTTTATTTGACAACATATTCCTTGTTTTTAAAACTGTGCCTACCAGATATTAATCAACATTTGTTGATAGATGGCTTTTAAAATTTAATTGGTGATTATTTGAGTGATAAAATTACCAGCTGTATCTTTTTTATTTCAGAACAAAGTCATTTTTTAAGCTTGGTTGCCCTTTTCATGGACATGTATGTTTTCTTATCTGCATAACCTTTTTGTCTGCAGATACTCAAAAGAAGTTCTTCCTTACTGCTTAAACCTAAATCGTGGCTACTTACTGGAAGTTTCAAGCTCATACAGTTCTTAGTTGATGCACCTGTGTATCTGCTTACCCTTCTACAGATGAAGAAACTGGGGCTAAGGAGACTGTGGTTTTAGGAATCACTTAGCACATTAAGGGTTGGGTGTCCTGTCATAAAATAATCTTAACAAAAGCAGCTAAGGGAGAAAGGCTTCCTCTGTCTCGCAGTCAGGGGTGCGTTCTCTCATGGCAGGGAACTTGAAGCGGCTGGCAAGAGTTTTTACAGTTCAGCTTACTCTCCTCAGCCTTCCTTGCTAAAGGCAGCTGGACTGGGTTTTTGTCATTTATTGGCCTGTAATTCTGATTTGGCTTTAGAAACCCTGGTTAGTTTAGAGAAAGTTGCTAAGGCTGGCAAGATGGCTCGGTGGGTAAAGGTGCTTGCCATGTAAACCTGGCAACCTGAGTTCAGTCTCCAGAACTCAGGCCAACTCCACAGAATTGCTCTGGTCTCTCTGATCAAAGCACGTCCATGCCCCTCCCCTCAGTAATAGTGGTAGTAGTAACAATAATAATCACTAAGTTTCTTTATTAAAAAAAGACTTGTGGGTCTCTTAGAGGTTTTTGAGAATGTGAGAACTTTTATTTTAAGGCAAACAAAGTAAATTGAGAAGTTATATTTTAAAAAAAATACTGAGTGGGTTGGAAGATGGCTCAGAAGTTAGGAGCACTTCCTACTCTTGCAGAGAATTTCAGTTCAGTTCCCAGCAGTCAAGGGTTTGACTCAGCCATCAATAGCTCCAACTCCAGGGGATCTGTTGCTTCTGGCCTCTGTGGACACCTGCACTCACATGCATGTACACATACATGCACACACATATACACAATTCAAAAATAATAAAAAATAGCCAGGTGTTGTGGCTCATGCCTTTAATCCCAGCATTCGGGAGGCAGAGGCAGGTGGACCTCTGATTGAGGCCAGCCTGGTCTACAGAGAATGTTCCAGACAGTCAAAGCTACACACAGAGAAACCCTGTCTCAAAACAACAATAGTAATAAATCTTAAAATAATAACAAGAAGGGATAATAAAGATGTGAACATGTGTCCTCCCCTGACACACCTCCTTGGGGGAGTCCTGCTATGCATCATTAAGGACATTAAACTCCTTAACTTGTAGGTATTGAGTTTCAGAGCTGACTGCTGTCCAGAAGTATTTCTTTGGTGGTAAATTTGAAAGAAATGAAGTGAGATAAGATGTTAGCAGGAATTGGAAGGAAGAGTCAAGACTGAAGGTTGAAAGTCAAGAGATTGCATTCTAAAGGTGAAATTTTATGTAACAAGGAAGGTAGCCTGGGAGGTGTTGATTTTTTTTTTTTTATTTTTATTATTTTATTTTTTGAACATCATTGTATTTCGAACAATGAACCCAAAATCCTCGTGCATAATAGGCAAGTATCCTACCACTGAACAGTATTCCCCTCCCTACGTTACAGGGTTTTTTGTTTGTTTGTTTGGCGGTTTTTGGTTTCTCTGTTTAATAGCCCTGGCTATCTTGGACTTGCTTTGTAGACCAGATTAGCTTTAAATTCACAGAGATCTGTCTGCCTCTGCCTCCTGAGTGCTGAGATTAGAGGTGTGTGCCACCACGCCCGGCTTTAGGTTACTTTTTTTAACGTGAATTCTTGGAATGAAAAAAAAAATACGGCATTAAATAAAAGAGAGACAGAAGCAAATAAGGTTGGGTAGGAGGCAATAAGCTTGGTTAGAATATGTTAGATCTTAGATGCCTATAGATCATTTAGAAGTATAAATTTGGCATCAAAAGAGGAGGTTCTTGGATTATTGGTATATAGGAAGTTTAAAGCCATAGGAGGGAATGAAGTGCATCAAAGGGAATGTGTTAATGAAGGAGTTTGACAGTATTACCCTGAAGAAGTGGTAGAAGGAGGCAAATACCTGGGCACTGGAAAGCAGTAGACTGTCAGCAAAGCAGACTGTCCACTGTGTAAGTCCACAGGTGAGCATACATAATAGTGTGTTAAGTAGGTAGTTCAGCAGCCCCATGAGATTTTAATATTTTTATGACCTATTGCCTCTGTTTGGCATAAGTGATGATCAGACTAGTATTTAAAATGTTAAGTGGAAGGTGGAGAGATGACTCAGTGGTTAAATGCTTCCTGTTCTTGTGGAAGACTGTAATCTGTTTTCCAGCATCCACATGGGGCTCAAAACCTCCTATAACTGTAGCTCCAGGGGATCCTGCACTCATGTGCACAGACACATAGTAACAAATAAATGGCTCTTTTGTTGTTTAGTTTTTTGAGACAGGGTCTTTACTTACTCTGTAGCTCTGGCTGTCCTGGAACTCACTATGTAGAACAGGCTAGCCTGGAACTCAAAGAGATCCATCTGGCCTCTGCCTCCAAGTGCTGAGATTAAAGGTGTGTACCACCACCACCTGGCATTTTTTTTTTTAAAGCAAAACCTTCAATAATAAAAATTAGTGGAGGAAAAATATCTAAATTTTGTATTTTTTATGAACGGCGAGTCTAGGCTCATCTCAGTTACTGAACCTTAAGAATTAAACTTGTGGAGCTTGAGAGCTGGATCAGGGAGTAAGGGCATCTGGCCAAACCTGACAACCTTTGTTGTCACGTGGTGGAGGAAAGAACCAGTTCCTCTAAGCTGTCTTCTGATCGATACACTTACACATTTCCACCCACACCCCAGGAAATGAATGAATGAATGAATGAATATTAAATATTTAAAGAAAGGAAGTACTTGAAGGAATTCTTCAGACTGAAGAGAAAAATCCATCTGTCAGTCTCCTGATAAATGGGTAGATTCTTATACCAAACCATTATATTATGAAGGGTTTTTTTATTTGTTTTTCAATGTTTGCTACAAGTTTAACATTAACCTCCTTCATCTGGTGAGAACAGTAGAAGAAATTTTCAGAACTCTGAAACAGCCCTTCAGAAGCATTTTAAAGTTTCACAGAGTTATTATAAATACTGTTATGGAGGCAATATAAACTGTTTTTGTTAATGGTGTTTTTCATGGGCGCACACTGGGAAAGAATATGCAGGACTCAGTGGCTTCTCCTGAAAATATTTGTAATGTAAGATTACGCTTGAAATCCATATTCATTTTGACTTTGTTTACTAGGATTCATGTTCTCACAAGCTATGAAGAAGTGGGTGCAAGGAAATACCGATGAGGTAAGTCTTCAGTATGTTCTTATAGAAGCTGGAGGCCTACGCTTGGCCAAGGAAGCTCACATTCTCTTCCTGTGGCTTCCTAGATGGCAGACCACATCAGTGCTGGCCTTCTTATTCAGGCTGTAACAAGAAAGGCTCCTCTTAGCATTTAATAATCACCTTGTGTTAACAGTAAAAGTATCTTCAGTCCAGAAAAACTGTGGCCACTGAAACATAAATATAGCCTCAGATTTCCACCACCACAGCAGCCAATTAGTGCAGAGACAAATGCTGAGGTTTTGTTGTTGTTGTTTTTTGTTTTTGTTTTTGTTTTTTTGTTTTTTTTTTTTTTTTGTCAGTTCAGTTGGGGAAGCTTATCTTTGGAATAGTTAAGCACGTTGAGAGATGAGAATGTTAAAGAAAAGTCTTTTGACCATCAGACAAAGAAAGTAGTCATGGTGTTGTCTCCTCAGTAGCTGGCCCTGTGAGACAGTGAATGTCGTGTTAATATGTCATAGCCAAAGGTGCCCAGATTCTTTGATGTATGGGAAGGTACTTTTTATTCAAATGATGAGCATATTCAGAAGACTGATTATGTGTATCTTGATCCTCCTAATGAATGGTCATTATCAACAGTTTGAATTACTTCTTTCAGGCCCAAGAAGAGCTAGCTTGGAAGATTGCGAAAATGATAGTGAGTGATGTTATGCAGCAGGCACACTATGATCAACCATTAGAGAAATCTACAAAGGTAAGGACTACCTATGTTCTGACCTAGCCGTTTGTTGTTGTTTATTTGTTTGCCTCTCTGGCCCCCAAATGAGTTTGCTAGCATGTCCCCTATGCCCACTTTTTATATGACTGCTGGGTATTTGACCTCTGAGCCTCTTCATTTCATTTCAGGTTAGCTATCTAGTGCCTGTGTTTATAGGGATTCTCCTGTCTCTACCTTCTATCTTGCCTCGGGCATGCTGGAATTACAGATTTTTGCTGCTGTGTTCTATTTTACGTTGTTGTGTAGATCCAAATGTCTATTCTCATACTTACATGGCAGTATTTTATCCAGTGAGCTGTCTTTCCAGCTTGAACCTGGAACTCATTGGGGTCCTCCTGTGTGCTGTGCCTGGCTTGTTATGTGGATCCTGGAAATAAGAACTCAGACTTTCACATTTACACAGTAACCACTTCACCAACAGAGCCATGTTCCCAGTGTCGAAGTTGGGTGATTTTTCTGAGTCTCTCTGTAGCCCAGACTACCCCTTTTGAATTCATAATACTCTTCCTATGTCAACTTTTCTAAGTAGGAGGGTTATATTTATGAGTCATTACACCCAACTGTATTCATATTCTTTGTGAAAGTTTTCTACTACTCCTGTACTCTGTTTACATTTAAGCAAAAAGAAATCTTGGAAAAATTTATCCGAAAGGGTCTTTTAACAAGGACAGGTCTCAAGCGTGCTAGGTGGGTGTTCTTTCTGACCTATATGTGTCCTGTGACATCCTCAGCAATGTGGATGCTTTTAAATTTGACAAAGTCCAGCATCGATCTTGCCCTGCTGGTTGTTAGCTGGCCTTCTTAGCAGTGTCAAGAACAGAGCTTGTTTAACTGTGAACTTCTCTCTGAGCTGCTTCAGATCGAAGCCCTGCTTCCTCTTTAAAGTGCAGCCTCTTCTCTGTGTGAGGGGGATTATTTTTGTCAAACTTAAACTGGTAAAGAGTGAGCTAAAAGGTCTGATTCTCCATCATCTTTCTGATCAGATGTTTGAAGATAAGGAAATGTTTAAAAGCCCTTTTGGAACCCAGATGTTTAAGATTCAGGCTTTTCATTTGAGTATTGTGTGCTTGTATTTTGTTGCCATTTGCTTTTCGTTTTTAGGATAAGAAAACATGTGCATATGTCTGTGTGGTATAGGGAGAAAGGAGAGAGAAACTGAGCTTACTAGACCTTATCTTTGAGGTGTTGAGGTGTCTTGTACTTCCTGTCTCTCAGAATCAGCAGTGCATTGGTATGTAACAGAACATGAAACCAGGAGAATTGAGAAGGGGAAGAAGGGTGGGAGGGAGTGTGTGTGTGGTGAGAGGAGGAGAAAGAGAGAATTGAATTTGCTAGGCCTCTTGAATCAGGGCCTCCTGAATGCTGTACTGCTTCCCAGCCTGTACCATGTCAAAAAATTAAAAAAGAGAATATTGAGCTGGGGAGATGGCTCAGTGGTTAGAAGTCTGTTCTTCTAGAGGACTTGGGTTCAGTTCTTAGTACCCACGTAGCAGCTCACAACTATCTAACTCTAGTTCCAGGGGATCCTACACCCTTACACAGATATACATGTAGGCAAAACACCAGTGCACATAATTTTTTTTTTTTTTTTTTAAATGAGAACATTGATAGACTCTAAAGATGGCTCAGTTGGTGAAGTGCTTTGGACTTGCGTTTGATCCTGGAACCGAGATGCAGTGGCATAATTGCTGAGCTCCCGGCTAGAGTCCCTGTCTCAAAAAACAAGGCTTTTATACAGTGTGCACACAAGTGCACATGCACACACACACACACACACACACACACACACACACACACACAGAATAGTTTCATTCATTCTCCTAACCATTGTCCAAACAGAAAAATAAAAGTAGGTTCTTAGCTTCTGTAAGCTCCTGTTAACTCAGGGATATCTGAGGATAATTAATACTTTGTGTAACAGGAAGTTTCAGTTGTGCCCTAAGCTCTGGCACACAGGGAGGACTGTGGACATGCTGGGCATTTTTTTCATCTGTGCTGATAATGTGTCACTTATTACAGGAATATACCTTTTTCTTTTGTTTTCTTTTTTTTTGTTTTCCAGCTATGACTCAAAACCAGAGATAAGGAAATCTGATTTTGAAAAATAAGAACTTTTCCCTTTGGTTGGATCCCTCAACACAGCCGATGAAAACGGAGCACTGCATTTCTTTTCACTGCTCGATCACTGTGGTTTCCAAGAAAGAATGGGAGACAGTCCGAGAGCTGCTGTTCAATATAGTCATAGGTGCACATGATGGTAACACAGTGAGTCACAAGATACACAATGGTGAAATCACCACAGTTAGTTTTCCAGTGGCCATAACCCACTGTGAGAGAGTTACCCACTGGAGTAGACAGGGACCACATCCTATGTGAGGCCGAGAAACGTGAGTCGGTGTGCGGTCCACATGCTTGCGACAGAGCCCAGCCTTAGTGTCAGAAAGCATGAAACAGAGGTGCTTTGTTCTTGTCCTCAAATTCACAGGTGAGTCAGTCCTACCTGGAGCACACAGGCAGCTGTGTGGGCCCACAGCTTGTGGAGCAGGTGACAGTTCCTTGTGTAGTCTTCCTTCAGAGGCATTAATTTAGAAAGAAGCTGACAAGTCATGGGCAAGGCTCAGTGATGTCATCCTTCTCTTTGGTGACAGAACATAGTTTTCACATTTCACTCACTCCTGAGATGTTACATCCTTAAAGCCAGTCCCTCCTCTGTTAACAAAAGTGCAAATTTAGTTTACTATGAGCGTCAAGACCCACTCCTCAACAGGAACACTATGCTCCAGATGCTTCATTCCCTTTTCAGAATACACATGGAAAAAACTAAGTATCACTCCAGTTTTTCCCATGTGGTACTTGGGACACATTCTCGGATTTTATTTTTATCTTTTATTTTTAATAAACTGGGGAATGAAGCACTCACTTTAGTGTCTCCCCAAGTCTTCACTGTGAGTGGGAAATGTGCAGTTGCCTTTTCCCTTCCTGTCTTCAGACAGCAGGAGACTCACTCTGCCCTTCTGCTTTGCACCCGTGGCCCAGCCGTTGCTGGGGCCCACCATTTGGCAAGCACACTCCCCCGGCCACAGGGTGCCAGTGCTTCCTTGTGTGTGACAGTTTAGAGAGAAAGGAAGTTTTCTTAGGTGTTAATGCTTTTTGCTCAGAACTTGCAAAAGAATATATGTTTGTGTGTGTATATATATATATTTGTATATATATAAAATTATTAATCACCTCTGTCCTTGGGAAAGTCTTGAATGAATAGAAAATTTATTTCATTGCAATATTAATTGTATAGAGGCACACTGTTCATCAACAGAAGAAGCAAAAAGGCTGTGTAAAAGTTTTTGGTACTATGTACCAACTCTGTTATTCTGAAGTATTCATGTACTTAAACCATATTCTATTTAATTGTGTTTGATTTTAAATATATATATGAATTATATTTAAAATGGTGTCAACTTCCTGCTTTCAGGGCATTTATGACTCTTCTATTGAAATATATTGAATCTTCCTAATACTTCCATTTGCTTTACAAAACCCCGGAACATGACCCACTACTGGACATAGCCTTGTGTTTGGATGTAGTCATAGAGGGGAGGTTTTTATTGGTGTATGTGCTGTGGTGGCTCATTTTGTTCTATTCACAAAGTATTTCTATTCATTTCACACTGCTTCAAACTTTTAAGTGAAAAACAATGTAAAGGTCATAGAGTAAAATGTGATTCTGAGTGATTCCTTTTGCCTCTGCATGTTTTAGAGTAAAAAATTCTGTAATACTCTCAGATATTTAAACTAGTGGGGTTTGTTAAAATATTTTCTAGTGATTTCTTTGTGTGCATTTTGTGTTTCTGAGCTGGAGATGTCAGTGTTTGTAAGCTATGTCTAAGAGGAAAGAGCAAGCCTGAGATTGTTTTGTTTTCTGCTCTCTGCTGTGAGATACAGAAGTAGAGGGACCCAAAACAATTAGACCGGTTGTGTGTTAGGTCCTTGTACTCATTTTAAATCCTCAAAAGATTCACCTAACATTGAGCCCCACTGTGTTCCGGGTTCTATGCAATGGATCCAAAATGATTCCCTGGCAGGGTTTTTAAAATCTAAGAAAGCAGTTGAACTTCATGCCATTGACGTCAGCAGATTGTTAAAAGTCAACCCACTAATGAGAAAGTGACAGCACTGTAATTTGGCTTATAGGAATTTCATCATTCCTATAAAATAGGAACATGAAAGTTGGGTGTCAGCCAAGTCCAGTGAAAAGCAAAGAAACAGGAAACAACTTTTTTTTTTTTCCTGGATGGGTTCCAGTATTTAAGGCTTTATTAATTTATTTATTTTTTTGAGATGTAAATTGTTTATATTACTGGAGCTTTTGACTTGTTCCATAGATATTTTATGAGGAGTTTGCTCTAAACTGTAGAAAATTATAAACTTCATTGCTGTTATTTTCAGCTTTTGAGACAAGGTTTCAGCATCCCAAATTCAGGGATTATAGGCACAGCCTCCATGCCAGCTTCTTTGCTGGTTTGTTTCAGTATCACCAACTGAGCACCTGATGTAGCAACTGACTCCAAAGGCACTGTTGAGACTCACTCAGCACCCTCAGTGGCCTTTTCACCGTCTTCACTCTTCTCTAGCATGCCAGGGATGTGCTAGTTGAAATGCCCGAAGATGATTCTGTAGTTTAAGGCTTTTGCATGAAGGAGAAATACTGATCATCACCTGGAAAACTGTCCTGATGAACAAGCCTGAAAGATAGGAGACTTTGGTGAGCCCAAAGACCTCACTGGGTTCTCCATCGAGTCCTATATCCTTGCCTTGGTCTTCATTCATCCTTAGGGTGTGTTTAGAATGCATCTGGATTTTTTGTTTGTTTATTTTGTGTTTTTTTGAGACAGGGTTTCTCCTTGTAGTCTTGACTGTCCTGGACTCTCTTTGTAGACCAGGCTGGACTCAAACTCACAGAAATACACTTGCCTCTGCCTCCCTGAATGCTGGGATTATAACAGGTGCTACCGCTGGAAATTTTCTTTTTTTTTTTAAACTTAAACCTGCAGTGACTTGTGAGTACATGCAACAGAAAGGACCTTGGTTAAAGTACTACCACAACTCTAAAATGTAGTGACCGTGTGTTTGGCACATGTTTAATGGCTGTGACATTTTGGAGCAGCATTTCTCTGTACTAAGCTTGTCTTTGTCATCTTGTGTGTACTGTCAAGATGCAAAATGTTCAGTCCTCTTAGTGAGAAGTTATTCAGGATGTAGAAAGGCCCCTGGCATGTTGCAGGATGATCACCATCAAAACTCGTGCTTCCTAGGCCAGGACCTCTTCAGAGTTCCCCATACTCTACCTAAGAATGAGCTCAATCCCCACTCTTAGCTGCATACCACACCCAGAAATAGAAGGCATTTCAACTAGTGTGTGCCCCATACACTCTTGAAGAGGGAGAAGTGGTGACTCAGGAGACCTGTAGGTGTCTACCCACTAGGTAGCACCTCTACCCACTAGGCCACACCTCCACACCTTCATGTAGCCTTAAAATAGTAAGTAAGCTACTTGCTAAAACCTTTCATGGCTACCACTTGAGGGGTCACATTAATAGTTGCCCTCCCCTCCGAGTCCTTTACAGGTGGACTCTGAGGAACTGCCTCTTTGCTTGGGCAGGGGTGGGAGTGGCTCAGAGTAGGAGGAATGGTACTGTAGGCTCTGGACAGGTGGGGAGGCCATAAAGGGCATTTAAAGGTATTGGGGTGAGCAAAGGCACCAAGGGTATCTGTTCAGGGAGGGCCTGCCTAGGTACAGGAAGGCCAGCATTCTTGCCTTGGTGACTTACGCATGCATCTCTGGTTGGTTGCAAAATGACCTGCTTTGATATAACTAAGGATGCCGTATAACTGAACAGGAACTTAAGCCCCTTGTTTAACGGTGACACAGCAACACCGAAGGAAACTGAAGCTCAGGTAGAAGATCCGAAGTGATCTTGGAGTGGGTTAAAGAGCTGTTTCCCAAGGATGAATGAGAAGAGAGGATTCCAACAACAGCTTTTCAGATTTCCAAGACCACTTGAATGTGCCTTCAGGCTGGTCCCTAAATGATCCCAAACTGACCTCTGCATGAATCATAGTAAGAATCCTCCCTCTTTCAGTTTTGAAAGAGGTCAGCCACCAGGTGTGCTGACGCCTATAATCCCAGAACATAGGACGCTGAGGCAGAAGGATCACAAGTTTGAGGCCAGCGTAGACAAGACCCAATCTCAAAACTGAAAACAGCTGCTGCAGAGATTGCTTAGTAGTAAGAGTGCATACTTCTCTTGTCATGTCAGGTGGCTCACAGCCCCTCTAAGTCAAGATGCAGGGGTCCCTCACATCTGTGCCCCTACATTCACATACACAAACCCACATGAAGATACACATACCTACACATAATTTAAAAAGAAAGTAGTTTGTAGCTGAAAGAAACACCTGACCAAGATTTGGCCCTTCCGACTGGTGGAGTTCCAAGTGGTAGCCTCCAGTGTTCAGCAGGAGTACCCAAGTTTCTTTTTTTCCTTTTTTGCTTGCTTTGGCAAAGAGCAGCCTTTGTTCCTTCTAATTAGCTGCTGGTTTGGTGAGTGTTTTTGTAAGTACTATTTATGGTGATAGGGGAGAAAATAAGATGAACTTCTAGGACCCTTAGAGTTCGGATTCTACCAAAAGGGAAGCAGAAGTTGAAAGTTGCATCTAAAGCACACTGGTTCTCGATGTTTTCCGGTGGTAGAATGCCTGCTTGGCGTCTGTGGTGCTCTGGGTTTTACCCCAAGCTCTAGTAAACAAAATGTACTAGGTTGTTTTTGTTTTGTTTGAACTTGGGTGGCCTTTTGGACCCATGATTTAATTCCTCTAGCACCCAGAGCCCTGTTGGGAGTCACCACTCTTCCACACCTTCCCACTTTCACCATTCCACAGGGACTAGCCACTATACCATCCATTTACTTACCAAACAGCTATAAATTGGGGCATTTGGTCATATATTGAACAGGGTATAAACAGCTTGTCTGATCAGGAAGACTTGCTTCTAAACAGGACAAAGAATAGAGAGTGTAGGTATGACCTTGACCTCAAGGCTCTTTGCAGAGCTTTGGGACATGTTCTTTCTTAGAGTCTAGAAACATGAAGACTAATATAAGTTGACCACAGGCACATGATCGAAAACATGATCTTGGAAAAACCTAGCTGGGAATCCATAAAATGGATGGCCTTTGTGAATCATCTTCGGTGATAACAATAAACAGCATAGTTGACCACTTGCCGTGTGCTAAGCGTTGTCTCTGAACGTTATGATAGTTAGAAGGTAAGTACTTTTTTCTCTCTAATGATAATGAGTGAAGCTGAAGCTGGAAGGCTAATGGCATCTCCAGGATCGCACAGATCACAAGCTTGGCAAGCGTCCTTCCCACTGTTACAACAGATGCCACTACTTAACACTGACTAGTATAGCAGATGTTCAAAGGGTTGAGAAAAATTTAGGCAGTGGTAGCACATCCTTTTAATCCCAGCACTTGGGAGGTAGAGGCATATGGATATCTGAGTTTGAGGACAACCTGGTCTACACAGAGAAACCCTGTCTCGAGAAGAAAAAAAGAAAGGAAAACTTAAGCTGGGTGTGGTATCTGTAATCCCAGCTCTTAGAAGGTAGAAACTGAAAGATCTAGAGTTAAAGGTCATTCTCAGCTGTGCAGCAAGGGCAGGCTGGGTTGTGACATCCCTGTCTTAAGAGCTGAGGGAAGGAAGGAAGGAAGGAATGCCTTAATCTCCCCTTATCTCCCAGAACAGTACAAACACATTTCTGTAGTGCTGATGGCCAAACTCGGGCCTTTGGACTTGCATGCAAGCATTCTCCCAACTTGACTGCATTCCCAGCCTGAAAAGCAACTATTCTTAAATTTTAATGTGCACGTGAAATCTCCAGGGAGCCTTAACACACAGGCTGCCTATTCTAGCAAACCTCCAGGGTTTCTGATTAGGTAGGTCTGGGTGGGACCACAGTGCTGAGAATCGTTTCCTTAAAAATCGTCCCTGCAGCTAGGGAAATAAGTATTTTTTTTTTTTTTTTTTTTGTTCTGGTTATTGAAAGTGCCATGCTACACTGAAGTGTGATTTAATTCCTACCCTTGACTCCCTGAGAAGTTAGTATCTAGATGTTTATCAAAGCTGAGAACATCCAAACACCACTCAGTCTTTTCCTGTTTCAGCCCCTTGGTTCTGGCTGCCCTCTGATGTCCTTCCCAGGCTTCCTTCTCCTGTTCTCCTTTGATGACCATCCTTCTGTCTCACTCTCCTTTGCCCCACTCTGTTCCTCTCCAATTCTTGATCTGGCACATACCTCTTCAGGGCTCTTCAGGTTTTGAGCAGTTCAGCAGTACCCTGGACAGGCTTCCTGCCTTGCCTTCCTTGCAATCTAAGGAGTAT